TTACTTCTTCACTGAGTTGGAAATTGTGTGCGATGTACTTTTTTTAATGAATGGTGAACATTTCACTTACATCCATTATGAATTTCAGTTCTCCTAGCAGTAAACTTTTCTTATTGTTACTGTTCCTAGTCACTTATACAGTCTGAGAAAATACAAAATAAATTTTATTACTTCCTTGTGACATACTTCAATGGCTCAGAACATAGCGCAGAAACACCATTAACTCTTTCAGTTTTCTTCTTTCATGTGTATGGTCAAAGTCATGAAAAAATCATAGTTCACATGCACTTTACAGACACTGCATAAATTATCATATACACATGAAATGCCAGTAGCAGAATAATGGAACACATTTACAGGTGTGTATGACCAAGCATCAGTGTTTCTCCTCTGCTAGAGGCATGTCACACACTGCAGGACTACAATTTTGCTGTGTGGTTTAGGTTTGTCATCATCAGAAGAAAAAATACCAATGATCTGACAGAATATGTACCTGATACTTCAATTGTGCATTATATTATTAACTATAACCATTTTAGTTAAGTCATATTCTTTAAAAAAAACTTGTTCAATCCCAGTGGAGAGACCCAGTAATCTAGAGGTAAGGCACATAACTTATATGTTGTGAACAGTAGTTACCGAGAAAAACTGAACACAAAATATGTTAAATCCATCTTTTGTTAAGTCTTACAGTTTTTGAGGTAACTGTATACATTTCCAAATTTGAATATTCAACAATCACCATGGAATCCTGATGAAACCTGGAACTTGGATTACACCTACATTTTTTTTATTTTTCATTATTTGCGCACCTCCTCACTTTCATTTGCATAGATAATCAGGAGTAAAATGTATTACAAAAAGATGCATCAAACTGGTAAACTAGAAACTAAAAAATTGGTTTTGGACGTCATTAGAGACCAGCCTTCGGCAAATGAGGATCTCTTCATGTAGAGAACAATGATTTTTTTTTTCTGAAGTACACAAATTATAAACCACAGATACATTAACCTAAATGCTGTGTTTGGAAAAAACTGGCCATAAATGGAAAATCAAAGAACTGCCATACATCACACATATATTTATAAGTAAACAGTAACGGTAAAGCCAAGAAGCAAACAAAAAAGTTGTCTATACTATTATTACACATTCACTACGCAGCATGCTTTAAGTCAAGGATACATATAGGAGAATCTTTTTCTATAAATGCAGAAACTGCTGAATACTGGGATGGAAGCACAGAATTAAGGCCTGAAGAATATACACCACAGAATGTTGGTGTGAACAAAACTGCACTGTGTAAGTTTTGAGGTTTTCATGGCGATGACTATGAAGAAAGTCGTCTTCTGGGTTTAGGCGCCGTGTATTCTTCATTTTGGCCGACGTTCCTCCGAAACATCGGCCAAAACGAAGAATACACGGCGCCTAAACCCAGAAGACGACTTTCTTCAAAACTGCACTGGTTTATACAAGGTTCCATTGGAAAGTTCCTTGACTGTTACTGTTGTTAACTGCCTCACTGAAATAAGAGGAGAGAGGAGGCCAAGATAACACTTCCAAAAGCCTAGTGCATCAGACTGCCACATGACACCGCATTGTGGTCACACGCTGTTTTTACATGACTGCTTTCTTGATTTCATGTTTCGTTTTGTCTGCGATGGATGGCAAAATCAAGCAACGTATCTGCATCAAGTTTTGCATGAAGCTCGGTAAATCTGCTACCCAAACCCTTGAAATGCTTCCTGAGGCTTTTGGAGAACATTTTTTAAGACAGATAGCAGTTTTTGAATGACACTGAACGTGTCAAGTCCAGTCGAGTATCAACTGAAGATGATGAATGTTCAGGATGACCAAACACCAGCAAAATGTAGAAAATATTGGGAAAAAATTTGAGAACTCATCCATGATGACCATCGCCAAACAATTCTTGAGTTTGCAGACACAAGTGGGATCAGTTATGGAGTTTGCAAGGCGATCTTAACAGAAAATTTGAACATTTACTGCACTGCAGCAAAGTTCGTTCCACGACTCTTGACAAATGATCAAAAGCAGCAGCATGTAAATATGTGTCTTGAGCTATGAGAGAAGGCTAACGAGGACCCAACTTTTACTCTTATTCTAGGATCATAATGGGTGACAAAAGTTAGATTTACTCGTATGGTTATGATCCAGAAACAAAGCAACAATCGTCGCTATGGAAGAACCCACAATCACCACAACACTTTTAAATCATAGAAAAAACGATGGGATCACTGTATACATTCCCAAGGAGACAATTTTGAATGATCTCTCTAAGATTCATTTTAATATTGTCCACCCACCTATGTCTTGGTCTCCCCAGTGGTCTCTTTCCTTCTCACTTTCCCACCAATATCCTATATGCTTTCCTCTTCTCCTCCATTCGTTCTACATGCCCTGCCCATATTACCTTCCTCAACTTGATCATTGTAATTATACTTGGAGAAGAATACAAGTTATGAAACTCCTTATTATGCAGTTTTCTCCAACCTCCTGTCACTTCATCTCTCTTTGGTCCAAGTATTCTTCTCAACACCCTCAATGAAATAATATAATCAGTGATATTAAATTGTGCCAGTTGTGCATTAATATTCAAGGCAAATTTATAATTTTTATTTAAAAAAACATAGGAGCCCACAAAAAAAAACATTTCTCCAAATTCTGGAACCTATGTTAATATTTACTACACGTCCAGGAGAATGCTCAAATCATTTATTAGTATCAACTTTTATGTTCACCTGACATATTCATGGAGAAAATCACACAATTTGAGTTTAATTAAAAATAACATTTTTCACCCCCAAGGGCTTCAAATCAATAAAGGCTTACTGTGTATACACAGTTTATACCATATGATACTAATGTGTGAATATATCCAAGCTAAGATTATTATTATTATTATTATTATTATTATTATTAGAGGGGGTGGGTTTCCCCATGCACTGCAACTAATAGTCTATTGTACGCCCCCTTTGATATTCTACCAGTCGCCATACCCTACCGGTATTGGTGTGTGCTATCAGCCCCGTTCAGCAAACAAGGTTGGCCCTCGGTACCTGATACTTCCCCCATCTACCAGAGGCATTGGAAACTACTTGGGCAGGAAACTTTTTGCCTAATTTTGCTCAGAGGTCTCTTAGAGACATGAAGATCTTTTACGTGCCGTAAATCTACAACACGAGACCCACGGCTTAAAGTCCCTCCTGGAGGACTTGTTCCCTGAATTTTTCCACCCTTAAAAATTCCACGACCTCCGCCGGGTTTGAACCCGCGTACCTTGAGTCATGAGGTGGGAACATTACCCCTAGAGTACAGAGGCCGCTTAGCTAAGATAGTTGTAGCTGCAATAAAATTCGTACACCAACAAAATTAAGGAATACCCTACATAAATAGAACAGAAAGAATTACTTTGAAGCCCACCTTATCTGAACTTACATAAAATGCTTATTAAACACCTTTGATTCCTTATATCAGTCAGTGAGCGGTCATGCACCAGCCTATCTTGAATGAGATTTCTGGTGGCTTTCCTCAGTCCCTCCAGGCAAATGCTGGACTAAGACCTCAAATGAGGCCATGATGGCTTTGTTCTACATCCTTTCCAATTTACTGTTCATTAATCGTTGTTTTATCCATCCTCCTACTATTTCTTTTTTGACTAGGACTGAACATTCTCCTTTTTTTTATTGCTAGTGGGGTGGGACTGTCCCTTGTACTGCGGCCACTTCTGGCCTATTGTACCAGCCCCAGATGATAGGTGAGGGTGACTGTGGAGCAACTGGTAGAATGCAGATTGGCAGGGGAAACCGAAGTACTCGGACAAAACCTGCCCCAAAGCCACTTTGTTCACCACAAATGCCACTTGACCAGACCGGGGATCAAACTCAGGCTACCATGGTGGGAGGTACAGACGACTCTGAAAGTGGCGGGGTAGCAAGGGGGCATTGCGGGGATATTCCAAGAACAGTACCTCTGTGTGTTTAGTCCGAGATATAAACAGGCATAGTTACTGAGAGACAGTGTACAAGAAGACTTCGCCCACGCTCGTGCATACAGAAAGGTCCCGACATGACTGGAGAATGTGCAGTGCAAACATAAACTTCCTCTCCTTTTGCCAGATAAGACATAGTAAGACAGTATGTCAGCAGCATGCATTTATACTGCAGAAACGTTTTGTGCAGAAACTTTATGCATATTTGTGGACAGAGACTCAAAATTGGGAAAAAAAATTTTGGAATCAATGTAACAATTTTTACAGATTCTAATATCTGTAAATTACAATATCTGATTCTATATTCTTTCTAGATAAAAGCAACGTTTATTTTGTTCGTTTATCACAAAAAGTGTAGAAATCACAGCATTTTCAGTAACATGCTTACAATTTTTAATACTCTACAATGGCGGACAATTAAATTAACTCCGGCCTGCTGCGATTATGGGAATTTAAATGGCCCGTCTCTTAAAGGTTAATGGTGAGAAATCTATTTATATACACACACACACATTTATTCTTCAAGTCCTGATGAGGGCATTGGATTTTTCTTTCAATTGACTTAATCCTTCCAGCCACATAATGGCCGTGGGGTCAACTCACCCTCTAACAGAAATGAGTACCAGGAATGTTCTTGGGGGTAAAGGGTGGCCAGTGTGTAGGGCTGACAACCTTGCCGCCATCTATGAGCCGACTGTCTAGAAAACGTGGGAACCTCAACATCTCTCAACCCTATGGGCCTAGACGGCCTGTTACAGGGATACTTTTACTTACTTACTTACTTACTTACTTACATTTATTCACTTTGGTTTAAAAATTTTATATCACAAGATAAAATAAAAAGTTATTGGACGGTAACCAAATTTTGTTATGAAAATAATTAAATTTTTCTGCATCCCTGTTAGGTCAGCTCTGTGTGCTTCTCTTCACAGTTCTTACACTCCTATATGTTCTGCTCAGTTACATTCATACATGCAGATATAATTTTACATACGTATTCTGCTGGGCTGGAATACTACTTCATAGACTTTCATATTCTGAATATCAGCCATCGACTGGGACTCATCTTCTGGGTCAGTCCCCGACCTCTCATATTCTTCAGTGGTTTTTATATTTAACCTGAAAATGTACATGATGGAAAGAAAAACTGGTAAGGTAAATATTTTATAAGTATAAAAGGTAACTTGCCCTTGTGCCCTGCTTATTGGGGCATTAAGACCAGCATATTAGACACCAACCACAAACATCAATCTCTTAATTAAACTTACGCTGCCTTGCTGACATTGACAGGCTTATCTTGATTGAAACTTTTACGAATACGCTGCCCATGAACAAAAGGTGATGAACTGGGACAATAAGGCTCTTCACCAAATGGCTGTACTCTCTTCAGGTCTACAGCATATAGTGATACATTTGTTAACTGGAATGAGGCACCTATAAGTTGATTCTGAGCTGTACTTATATCTTGGATCTTCCCCCACCCCATGGGGATGGTGTCATGTGTCCTTGCAGGTTCCCAACCGTATACTTTTAAAACATCTAGTGATCCTGCATACAGACATTCGCCACCCTGACTAAAGTTGATACATCTGTAATCAAAAGAACAACAGCAGATTTCCAGTAATTATATTACAACATTATTACATAAACTTTTGTATAACAAATTTTTCCAACACACACACATAAAATCATAGAAATTAAAAGTGGAATGAACTTTCAGAATACTATCCGCCATTAATACTCAATCTTTGGTCTTCCTGTTTCCTCCCTAAAATCTAAAGATTAAGATATATAAAGTTATAATTATTATTATTATTATTATTATTATTATTATTATTATTGGAGGGGGTGGGTTTCCCCATGCACCGCGACCAGTTTAATCTATTGTGCGTCCCCCTGTAATCTTCTACCAGCCTCTATACCCTACCGGTATTGGTGCTTACCATCAGTCCCTACTCAGCCAGAGAGGTCGGCCTCTACTAGCTCAGAGGTATCTCAATGCTTCCCCCATCTACCAGAGGCGTTAGAGACTACTGTTGGGCAGGAAATGTCCTTAATTTTGCTCAGTGGCTTCCTTTGGAGACATGAGGTTCTTTTACGTGGCGTAAAGCTACGACATGGGACCCACGGCTTGAAGTCCCTCCCGGAGGACTTGTTCCCTGAATTTTTCCGCCCTTAAAAATTCCAAGACCTCCGCCGGGTTTGAACCCGCATACCTTGAGTCATGAGGTGGGAACATTACCCCTAGACTACGGAGGCCGCTTATATAAAGTTATAATTTTATCTGTGTGAAATTTGGATTCTCACCCTAAGGTAAGAATATGGATTAAGGGGTTAGAGAACAGGGTGCTGAGAATATTTTGACTTAAGGAAGGGGAAGTACCAGGAGAATGGAAGAAATTGCATAATGAGCACAGTTGTATCATTGTTAAATGACAAACACATGGAGGATGATTATGGGCAGCAGCATGTAGCATGCATGGAAGTGATGCATACAGAATTTTGGTTGAAAAACCTGAAGGAAAGGGGCAGCTTCAAAGACCTGGATTGAAGAGAGGAGGATAATATTAAAATGGATTTTAAAGAGATAGGGTGTGAGGACAGTACCAGTTTCAAGTTCTGGTGAACACTAAAATAGATGAAGAAAGCAGTCTTCTGGGATTTGGCACCGTGTATATGTGGTGTTATGTAGTGTTGGTTAACACCACATATACACAGTGCCAAATCCCAGAAGACTGCTTTCTTCATAGTCACCGCCGTGAAAGCCTCAAATCTTACACTAAAATAGATCTTTGGGCTCCATAAACAGCGAGGCATTTCTTAACAAGATGGGTGACTCTTAGCTTCTCAAGGACTCTGCTACATATAGTTAACTAGCAAGTGACTCAGACCTACAAGATTACAAGTTTAATGGATACTTCAAAACTTTCTTGTATATAAACAAGATCTAAGGTTTGTGATGACGGTATATTAATACAGTTATTTTGTTTCTGAACATTATCCAGTGTCCTGTTTTTATTTAAAATACACAACGTGGAACCTAGTCAGTTGGGCCCAATCAATAGAGATAGTCCTTATCTCCAGACACCATCACCAACACAAAGATAGAAGATTTTTTAATGTTTTAATGTTTGGCTTAACTTGCGCAGATGGTTTAAACTGTGCTTGGTTTGTTACTCTGTCCAAAAAGTATCCAACCTTGGGCTGGGAAAACAAATTTCTGTATCTGGGTGGTTACAATACCTAATCCCCTTCAAAGCAGGCCCCTTGTGATGCCACACACTTAGCCCAGCAGTCCTTTCATCGCTGGAAGCAATTCTGGAAGGCTTCTTTTGGAATGACATGCAGCTGCGCCATCACATTCTGTATGATGTCCTCATGGCTGTCAAAACAGGAGCCTTTTAGCAGTGTCTTCAATCTCAGGAACAGCCAGAAATCACAAGGAGCCATGTCAGGAGAGCAGGGAGACTGGCGAACCTACAGAATGCCATGCTTGGTCCAGGTGATCAGGTGTGATGAATGAGCTGGGGTGTTGTCATGATGCAGCTGCCAGTTGCCTGCATCCCACAGCTTCAGTCTCTTGCACTGAACTGCATCATGAAGATGGCAGAGGACTTCTTGGTAGTACTCCTTAGTGACAGATTGGTCTAGTGGTACGTACTCATGATGCACAACACCCCGGTAATCGAAAAAAACAGTCAGTATCACCTTCACATTCCTCCGAACCTGTTGTGCGTTTTTGGGCCTTGGGGATGTTGGATGCTTCTATTGTGACACCTGGACCTTGGTTTCCGGGTCATATCCATACACCCATGACTCGTCACCAGTGATCACAGTCTTCAGGAACTCAGGATCCCTGTTGGTGCACTCCAGCATGTCCTGCGTGACCTCAAGGTGGAGTTGTTGCTGCTCTAGCAAAAGCAGCTTGGGCATAAATGTTGCTGCCACTGTATGCATGCCAAAATCCTCAGTTAAAATTGTGTTTGTGGAACCTCTGCTGTTCCCAACCTCATCAGCAACATCCTTGATGGTCAAACAACGGTCCTCCACGATCAGTGTCTGCACTTGTTCAACGACATCAGCATTTCAGCTCGTTGACAGTCTCCTGGAACACTGGTCACTGTCCGCTGACATACGGCCATGTTTAAAGCGGCTGAACCAATCTTTAATTTGAGTGACCCCCATTGCATCGTCGCCGAAAGCCTGCTGAATTTTGCAGAATGTTTCCGCTTGGGTATCCCCAAGTTTCTGACAAAACTTGACGCAGTATTGCTGCTCCAAGTGTTTTGTCATTTTGAGCGAAACGAGAATGCGACAAACACGTGTTACACCACTTCGCTAACTGGCAGCCATAGACGCATCCGGCCATGTTGCGAGTCAGCAAAAAATCACGCATGCGCATGAAAGTCCCTTCTACCACTATGCTCAGTTTCCTCACCATTTTGGCCATTACTTATAGTGGCTAAAAGTAAAGTCGGATACTTTTTGGACAGCGGTGTACGAGGGGGTACCCAAAAGAAACCGAACTTACTTTTTTTAAACTTATTTATTCAAATTTTAAGCGCAAACCTTCAATCCCCTTCAAAGTACTCTCCACTTACACTAATACACTTGTCTAGTCTTTTATTCCATTTTTCAAAACATTGTCTAAATTCATCTTTTGAGATGCTTGACAGCGGCTCCATCGTTTTTTCCTTTGATGTCTCTTTTCATTCGAGGAAACAAAAGAAGCCGCACGGGGCAAGGTCGGGTGAGTATGGAGGGTGAGGAACAGGGGTCATACCATTTTTGGTCAAGAATTGTCATACAGACAGGGCTGTGTGAGTAGGGGCATTGTCATGATGGAAAAACCAGTCACCCGACGGCCACAAATCTGGCCGCTGAGCTCCAAGTCACTCCCGACAGCTCCACAATTTCTTCAATGGTCCGTCGTCGATCTTCCTTGATGATTTCACAAATTTTTTCAACATTTTCATGTGTTCGGGCCGTGGAAGGACGACCAGAACGAGGTTTGTCATCAATTGACATTTCACCATTTTTGAAACGGGAAAACCACTCAAACACTTGAGTTTTCCCCATAGCATCATCCTTGTACACCGTTTTTAACATTTCAAGAGTTTCTGTTCCACTTTTCCCAAGCAAAAGCAGAATTTCACCACCGCACGCTGTTCACGAAAATCAGCCATTGCAAAAACGATGATCACACAAAACAGTTGTCACTACAAACTCTGCCGAAACTAGTCCTTACCTTCTGAAGCAACGGTAGTCGGCTTATCGATTCAGGAATGTTAGCTCTATGCGCTCATAGCAGCAAAACGCGGTACTGCAAAAGCTCTGCCCACAAAAAAATTAGTTCGGTTTCTTTTGGGTACCCCATCGTATATATCCTATCTGGTGTTGGTGCTGGTGTCTGGAAATAGGGACTAGCTCTTATCGACTGGGCCCAACTGAGTAGGTTCCACATGAAGACAAAGACAGAATACGGTATCCGAAACGTTGTATGTTTTAAATAAAAACAGGATGATGGATAGTCTTCTTGTACATGTTTCACCTAAAAAATTATTAGAGAATTTCATATGTGGTGGGGGTTACACTAAATATTTTCAGGTGAACTTCATTTTGGTCCTTATCAGTAAATATCTACACAACATTATGTTCCAATCTAACTTCAACAAATTTCTCAATTATGGTCCATTATAAGAAATATAATGAAATGCAAGTGAAAAATTGTTTCTACAGTTCTTATGCTTAAAAAATGGACTTTATTTCATCCATTCAGTAGTTCTTGAAATGAAACAGATAGATGATACAACCTCACCAATATGCATTGCCTTTGTTAAAAAGTGCATCATATAACAGCAAGAGAATGTTACTAAATGATTTACCTTATGGCACCAACATCCTGATCAGTTGTAGATACAAGCTGGAAATTTTCCAAATCCCAGAAGTTAACACTATGATCACAGCTACCAGAGGCCAGCAGAAACTCATTAGGATGAAATTCAACTGCTGTGACAGGACCTGTGTGGTCTGAAAATTCTTTGAAAAGCCGACCAGCTCTGATGTCCCATAGCTGCAACATAACAGGATATCATTTCATGATTAATGTATCCCATTATTTAGATAATATTTACATATTAAGCAACAGTAAGAGCTTTTATCTTTGTGTCTAAAAATTTGTGCAACATGGATGTAAAGCCGCAAGCATTCATAACATCAGTAACACATCAAAGTCAATGCCCAGCTTCATACTTCTGCTGTCTTCACCACAGGACAAAGAGCCCAAGATACCAACTGAGTTGGTCACAGAACTGTTCTTGCTACAGCTGTGAAGAAAATTTCTGATTTCTTACTGAGCAGGTACGTGTAGTGCAATGCTTTGCATTCATATTCATGAGGTACTCAGTTTGAAACTCTATTGTATCATTAAATTAAGAATTTAGTCATATACAGAACACTAAGAACAGACCTAAGTTGTGACAGATATGGTAAGAATGAAATATATGCCCACGCATGTGAAACTGCACAACCACATTAATTGCACAGCTATATTGCAAGAATCAATACTACCTCCCAATTCATTTCTGACTGCTGCAGCTGTTCCTGTGTGTGTTGTTTTCATCCTCACAATGTGACAAGATGCAGACAGATGTTCATTATCTTTCTAGTTTTACAAAAGGAAGTTATACGGTGATATTTCTTGATACTTGAGGGCCAGTGGAGTCAGGATAGTGTAGTTGGTATAGCGACTGTCTATGAGCTGCATGACTGAGGGGTAGAAGTTAGAGCATTGTAGGGTCAAGAGATTTCTCTTCTCTGTGTCATCCAGACCGGCTCTGGGGTCCACCCAACCTCCTATCCAATGGGTGATGGGGGCTCTTTCCCCATGGGTAAAGTGGTTAGGGTGTCAAGCTGACCAGTCACCTCTATCTAGTGCCGAGGTCAAGAAAATGTGGATCTATACATCCACTCATCAATAGGCCTTCACGGCATAGTGCTTAATTAGTTAAGCACATGACCAAAGTTTACAAATTACTTGAAGGCCTATGAGATTATGAGGGCCTATACTGCAGCTTATTTAACTTCTGTGAAATCCATCACTTAGTGCAGGTATACTATATACCTTTACTAGATACAGAAAATCTAATGACTTCTTTTTTTGAGATCCATGACAGTTAAGTCAGTCAAGTTAAGTCAAATTAAAATCATAGCAGCTACCTTCACCAAACAATCATCTCCACCAGAAGCAATCCACTGACCATCAGGACTGAACTTCAGACTGTTAACAGCAATCCTATGGCCCTTGTAAGTAAAGATCCAGCTTTTCCGTCGAATATCCCACATCTGAAACAATAAAGTACATTCTGTGTAGGTGTTAAATACTGTAAACATATATTACTACTACATGCATTCTGCATAAAGCGGTACTCCATGGGAACACGTCACATCACATCCCACAAGTCTGTATACCACAACTGACGTCCACAAGTCTCACCTCTTTAACCACTAACCCACAACATTCCAATACCAAGCCTAATTGGTACTCCTTAACTATGGACGGTCTGCAGTTGTTACCTATTTCATGGTACTAACCCAGTATTTCCCTGGAGGTACTGAGAAAAGACAGGAAATCTCAGAATAAAAGAGTTGGCCAAGATTCAAACCGAGGACCTCCAAATACAAGTCAGAGCTGTTATCTCTCACATTAACTTGCTTGATACCACTTGACTACCACTCACTGGCTGTTTGCAGGATATCCTAGCCCTGCCTTCATCTAGATATGACTCTCAGGTAAAGCCTAGTACCACAAAAGGACACCACTAGTTGACATATAACCATGAATGTGCAGGAGTACACTTTACTGCAAGTTCCTAAAGCCAATTAATCTCTCCATCTTCTCTCTGAGTGTTGCTCTCTTCATCCCAAAGGTTCCTATTTTGGAATTTCATTTGTTGTAGACAACTCTTCAATTTTAGTTCAATTCAATTCTTATTTATCTGTGTGTAGCCCATGGGCCAATTATGAAGTGAGTACAAGTGAAATAAAATAAAGAAACACACACAAAATAAAAAACAAGGCAAAAACAAGTGCTTGACAACAGCTAAGAGACAATTACAGGCAAACACTAACCAAGCAACTAGCTAACTAATTTTTTTTTATTATTTTTCCTCACAGCGTCAGTCCACTTGGTACTGCGGCCATTGTTTGACCTCTTTACCAGCCCCAGATGATGATGACTGTATAGCAATCAGTGGATGCGAACTGGCAGGGAAGCCGAAGTACTTGGAGAAAACCTACCCCATTGCCACTTTGGTGACCACAAATCCCACATGACCTGACCCTGCCTCGAGCCCCGGCTGCTATGGTGGGAAGCTAGTGACTAATCACCTGAGCTATGAGATGGTCTAACAAACTAACTAAATCCACGGATACGAGCCCTTCTTGAGAAACCGCCAGCTGCGCAGCTACTCAAGAATTTCCAAACATTTTATGGTACCCAAAGGTTCATTATTTAGTTTACAAGAGCCTTCCACTGGTCCCTCTGAGCCAGATCAATCCAGTTCATACCACCTCATCCTGCCTCTCTAAGATCCATCTTAATATTATCTTCACACCTACGTCTAGTGGTCTCTTTTCTCCTAGCCTTCCCACCAAAATCCTCTATGCATTCCTCTTCTCCTTCTGTGATGCTACATGCTACATGCCTTGCCCATCTCATCTTCCTTGACTTGACTGTTCTAATCGGCAAACAGTACAAATTATGCAGTTCCTCAATATGCAGATTTCCCCAACCTCCTATCACTTCATCCCTCTTTGGTCTAAATATTCTCAACACCCTCAGTATGTTCCTCCCTTAATGTCACAGACAAAGTTTCACACCTATACCGAATTCTAGGCATAATTATAGTTATGTATATTGTAATTTTTATGCTTTTAGATGACAGTCAAGAACACAAAAGGTTTTGGACTGAATGGTAGCAAGCATTAGCTGAAGACAGTCTCCTCTTAATCTCCTCCTGAATCAAATTTTGATTTGTTACTGTTGTTCCCAAATATTTGAACTGTACCATGTTTTTAAAGGATCTATTAACTGTGTTCATGCTCTGATTTTGCCGAATGTTATTTAAATGACCAAATCAAGGAGTACTGGATAGGCTGGGAAAGGGGCGCACATGAGAGAGAAGAGTGAACACAAAGATTTGGTAGGAAAACCTAAATGAAAGATACCATTACAAAGACACACACAGATGGGAAGTTAATATTAAAATTGATCTTAAAGAAACAGGATGGGGGAATGGTATGGACATGGATTTGTGATGGGCTACTGTGAGCAGGGTAATGAACATTCAGGTTTCATGAAGTGCTGCAAATTTCTTGAGTGGCTAAACAAGAAGGGCTCAGCTCGATGCAGTATAATTATTACACTTCAGCAGATAGAGGATGTCGAATGGTCAGCGCAATGGATCCCCACGATCGTTAATCTCTGTTTTCTAGACCAGAGCTGCTATTTCCTTGAAATAGCCCAGCAAGTGGTAAAAATAAAAGAGACTTCAATACTATTCACTTGAGCCATATGAGTCTTACTTCCTTTAATATTTTATTTTGGGCAAATTAATTAGTTTTTCACCTTTATTACCTAGAGGAATTAAATTTAAAAAATATGAAATTCATGTGGATATGGCTCTGTACAAAACGAGATGTTTTGTTTTTTCTGGTGTAAAACTGACAGAAGATAAAATATGTTTATGAGTTACATACCTTTATTGATGTGTCCAACGATCCTGATGCAAGCAAATCACCATATGGATGAAAGTCCATGCATCGTATTGCAGCTCTGTGTCCAGTTAATGTCCGAACTATTTTTGCAGCTTCTAAATCCCAAATTTTTAGTGCTCCAGTATGTGATCCAGCACATACTAGTTCCTCAGTATGTCCAAATTTCACACATTCTACTGGTGTCGAATGGCCACTCAGACTCTGAATAATAAAACAATCATACAAATGAACTGTTTAAAATACATTTACTTGTCACAGATTCTCAGCATTTAAAGTGAGTGAGCTTCAGATTTTCATTCCAGCTGGAAATAAATGTACAAATGTGAGAAAGGACACTTCTGTATTACAACATAACGTAAATAATTTACATTCATATCTTGATTTTAAGGATAATAGAGTGTCTCAAGTTCTTCTAGTATGTCTTGTTGATAGTAGCCTCATAAGCAGAAAACTGTGGATTCCACATTTAAAGACTGAAATCTTTGGAATTTGAACTTTGGGAGCAGAGCCGATGGATAGAGAATTTCTAAACAAACTAAAAACAGAAACTTAACTGAAGCAATATATGCAGAATGCCATGTAAACAACAACTTCTATAACAGAACTAGAAGGTGAAACACCACTGAAAAGTGTAGCACTGGATCCAGATCAACCACCTACCATCTCGCAACTTGTTCCCCGAAGATCCTTATTAGTATTATCACCTCATCTACTAGAGCTCGCTAGTTACTGATTTTTGAGGTTTCCTACCAAAATTACACATATCTCTGGTATCCCATCAAAACTACAAGCCCAACGCATCATAAGCATCTTCACTTCATTACTCTAACAGAAACAAGTGACAAATCCAGTTCTATGCTTACCTGAACCAACTTATAAGGTGGTCCAAATATGACCGGGACTGATTTTTTTTTAAAGACCATAATTGCCAAAGACTTACTTCCACATGTCAGTCTTCAATGTACTCCCCTCCGGAGTCAACATATTTTTTCCAACATTCTGGAAGCATCCTGACGCCCTTTTCAAAAAAGGCTTGTGGTTGGCGGCGTATCCACTCCTGAACAGTCTGGATGACTGCGTCATCCACAAACAGCATGCCTTGCAAGTCTGATTGGAGCCTTCTGAACAGGTAGAAATCACTTGGGGCCAAATCGGGACTGTATGGTGGATGTGTCAGAAGATTCCATTTCAATTTCTGGAGGGCGTGCATTGTCTTGAAGGAAGGCTACCTGCTTTCCAGCTGTCTTCCGCTTGGATCGGAACTTTTCCTTCAAGTCTGTTGCCAGGAGGTCTGAGTAATAAGCTGCATTGACTGTTCTGGCATCTGTCAGAAAGTCTACATGGATAACCCCCTGCCAGTCCCAGAAGAATGTTGCCAGCAATTTTCCTGCCAAACGGCTCCTCTGCACTCTCTTTGGTTTGGGAGAACTGGTATGCCACCACTTACGTGATGACTGCTGGGACTCGGGAATGAAGTAGTGCACCCACATTTCATCGGTGGTCACTACAGACTTCAAAAATGCATCACCTTCGTCTTCAAACTGCTGTAGGAGACGAATGGCAGCTTGCATGTGCACCATTTTGTTCACGTCCATCAAAGTGCGTGGTACCCACCATGCATTCACCTTGCGATAGTGCAGGTGGTATTTCACGATGTCTTCTACACTACTAACACTGATGGACAGCATTGCTCCAAGTTCCCTGATAGTGATGCGCCTATTCTCACGAATAAGCGCGTCTAAATGATCAATGTTTGGCTTGGTGACGGATGTTCGCGGTCGACGATCATGTGGTTCATTCTCCACACATGCTCTGCCCTCTCCGAAGCACTTACACCACTCAAACACATGGGTCCATGAGAGACAATCTTCCCCATACTGTTGTTGGAGTCTGTGGTGAATTTCAGCAGACGGGACGTTTTCTCCAACGAGGAATTTGATCACAATGCGTTGTTCAACACTCCGCAGAACCTTCTGTTCGCTCATCACTCTGGCAACTCCAAGACAGGACTGAACAGGTTCTAACCCGAACAGGAGGGAGGGTGGAGGTTGTGGCTTCACTCTCTCAAGGTCACACGGCTGCTGTGCAGTGTGGCTTGTTTACATACAAATCAGTCCCAGTCATATTTGAACCACCTTGTACATCCAAATATCCTCCTGAGCATTTGCAATTACAGAATACTGCGTCATTCCTCAAAGTTAAACCCATATACATCACTAGTACCACATTTTGGTCACACATCGTATATCTTACAACTCATGAATTATTTACAGTATCCATATGACATCACCCAGCAATGAGCAACCAACAACCAACCAAGGAAAATCTCTCTAAACTAGCTAGTAAGATTTACAGACATTTTGAACATTACATCTGAGCAAAGATAATGGATTCTGTATACCATACACATGAATAATTTACTTATTTTCAAATAAGACAGGTTGAAGATTGCTTTCTTCTGGAATGTGATGCCATTTAGTCTGGTAGAAAGCTACCTCAATTTTGGATAAGTGTTTAGCCTCCATCTTCTTCGCAGAAAAGTGGATGTTGCAAAGAGTAGCCTCCAAAGTGAGGTTTACGATACAAGATTTTAGGTTCTTGCAGCAGTGATTATGAAGATGTGACTCTGGGACAGCATCACGTCCAAGGATACAGTAACTGAATAACTCAGGTTACACTGACCAGTGTTCACCCTTCCTTTGTAAATGTTAGGCTTTCCTTTGTTCATAAATAATGAAAACTTGAGGTTATGTTTTAAATATGAACATTTGATGTCAGTAGGGAAGGGCAGAAACTTGTTAACCTACTTCCTCCACAAGCTAGAATTTCACCCTGCAATCTTCATAGTCACCACTAGAGAAAACCTCAAATTCGCACAAGATACTGCTCCTGCATAACTTTGAGGCAATCTAGAATGTTTGTTTACAAAAAGTAAAGTAAAGGTATCCCTGTAACAGGCCATGGAGGCCCATAGTGTTGTGAGATGTTGAGGTTCCCACATATTCTAGACAATTGACTCATAGATGGCGGCAAGGTTGTCAGCCCTATGTGTCAGCTGCCCCTCCCCCAAGAATATTCCTGGTACTCATTTCTGTTAGAGGCTGAGTCAACCCCAGGGCCAGTGTGGTTGGAAGGATTAGGTAAATTGAAAAAAAAATCCAATGACCTTCCGGCTTGTAACACAGTGCCTCAACCAACTACACTACCTCATGTCTGTTTGTTTACAAAAGGTAAGTCTAATTACAGCAGTTACTACACAAATTAAAAAGCCAAGGAATGACTTTACAATCTGGTAACCATGGCTATAAACCAGCTCAGTAAGAATCTACAGAGCATCCACCTCATGGAAACACACTTCGTACTTAATGTGTGCTTATCATAACACACATAAACCTAACATAATGTATGGTCTGACAGAAATATATAAAAATATGTCCAAAACTGAAATATTACTTTACTTCAATTCAGTACCATAATTTTATATATCCCAATGATGTAACTATATTAAAATATAATTTAACTAAAATCCAACAATGCAGATCTTCCTCAGTGTAACCTAAACGAATATCAAATCTGCTGAAGTCTTGACACTGGTATTATTTACGATCTGCTGGTCAAGAAAAGTACTGGCATTTTCAAAGTAAATAAATAAAACAAGACAAATAATTAATCTGTGAGATTGACAATACTATAAGAAAGCTATGGAAAGTAACAAACCATGATGCAGTTATGTTTCCCAACCGCCCAAAGGTTAACTTTCTTGTCATCACCGCCTGTTACTAATACACGGCCTGATTTGTGACCAAGCGCCAAACAATTCACATTGGAACCATGGGCCACAAAATGTTCTGAAAACAGGCATCACAGGGTTAATATTGTAGCTACAGTAAAAAATTTGCTATTTAGTTCACTTCATATATGTGCCACAACGTAACAACTATACTACAAAACATTTTGGGACTTATTTTACATCACGATAAAAACAATAAGCAATGTATGTTACTCACGAAGCTTCCATGACCTCTTGGAGGATGTAGCCATTACGATAGTAGATCTCCGTCGGGACCTACTTTCAGTCGTATCAGTCTTCCACTTCGACAATTTTATTGTAACTACCAAAAAACAAATCAAAACAAAACTTAACCTTAAACTTATCCTATCATCAGTTACTTAGTATGCACCAATGTGTAACATACATTTATTTGCTAACCTACAACCTGGTCTGACACTTTTTTTTTTATTATTTTTGTTTTCAATCTCTATGACACAGATTACCATCTGTGGGGTTTGTGGTACTGCTGACCGAAACTTATTAGTCTGTGTTGGGAAGGTTGAAAGTGGTGTCAACGGTCAACAAACTTACGATATTATAATTTGTTACTGCAATACGTGGGGTTTGGCTTGATTATTGAATTTACCTGAGGCTTATAACTCGTAACTACTAATACTTATAAAACTAAACCTTTAAAATTTGCTACGTCTTCACAAATAAAACTAAATCTTCTAAGTTGCTACGTTTGCATTGCTCGTTGCTCGCTAACGATTTATAACAATGGAGAATAACAAAGCAATTTTGACTATTCTTGCGTACGTATCCATGTAATCATGTTAAAAAAAGTAAAGGTATCCCTGTAACAGGCAGTTTAGGCCCATATGGTTGTGCGACGTGAAGGTCCAACAGTATCTAGACCATCTAGACATTCGGCTCAAAGATGGCGGTAAGGTTGTCAGCCTTACGCACCGGCAGCGCTCTACTCCCCAGGAAAATTATTTAATTAATTCCTGGTACTCATTTCTGTTAGAGGCTCAGTTTACCCCAGGACTATAGTGCGCCTAGAAGAATTAGGTCAATTGAAAAAAAAATCCTGTGAACGCATCGTGACTTGAACCCGCAACCTTCCAGCTTGTAGCATAGTGCCTCAACCAACAACGATATCGAGTGCCCCTGTTTTCGTTTTCTGAAGATGGTCACAACCGGTCACAACAGACCGCAACAGACTGAATGGTGATTGGTTCTGACTATCTAGTTCGGTCCTTCTACGTAGAGATGGCAGGAGATCCTTTGTTTTTCCCTGCTCCTAAGACAGTTGAACCACACTGATTGCAGGCGAAGAGCAGTTTGGTGGACATTCAATACTTGGCAGTTTTCTGACCTTCGTATGGTTAAAAAAAACTGTAAGTAGGTCGTGCGGCATGTTATGTAGACAGTGTTGTACTCTTTTAATCATGTTACAGATTTTCATTATGAAGTCTGGTATACCATGTGACAGTGACGGTAAATTTCAAAATTGTCAGACTCTTGCTTTATCACTACTTAAAGAAGCTTGCATTACGTAAAGTTTGGGCGGCTGATATTTTGTATAAAAATCGTTTAAAAATAAGCACCTAATTTGTGTCAAAAAGAAAGTATGACTGTATTGTAGCACATTAATTTTTTATGGTGAAGATCGTTATTTTATTTTCCACCCATTTAGTGAGAATCGAAAAACCTGTCCACAGTTTCAGTTCTGGGCAGCAATAATGTAGACAGTAATGGGCTGATGTTCATGAAACTGTAGGAACATAATGTCAGTGGATACCATTCCATCTACAATAAATTGGTTATTGCGAATTCGTTATTTTGGAACACCACTAGCTATCTATATAAATATACAACTTTTACTGGATTAAGTCCTGCATGATGAATTAAGAAATATGTGGTGCTACTGTGAGAAATATTTTGTTTTGATGAGTCATTTTTAACTTTTTTACAGATTTTGTAAGACTGAAGTTTAAATGTGATATCATTTGCTTTGTATGAATCAGTTAACTGTAGAAAATATTTCGTTAAAAGAAGCTGAAAATACATTGTCAGAATAGTTAAGAGGATTTGGCACCAGTGTTTCAGTGACACAGACCTTTGAGATCATGTTTACCATAGTATTAGAAATTGTTATTGCTAATATGTTGGGTTTATGTGATCTGCCTATTGGTATCTTTGTGTTTATGTACTTCCATTTGCATTTGTACGTCATCTTTCAGATGGTCTGCTGCAGCTACAGATATGCAATACAAACTTCCTCGCCTCACTAGTTCCTTTCGAGCATTTTCTGGTTTAGCTCGGCCAAATGATTCAAAGTTACATGAAGATAATATAGAGTCATACCGACAATGGAAGGCAAATCAGTTAAAAGAGTGAGTTACTAATTGAATTTATTATCCATAAACTATTTTAACTATGATAGTTTTACAATGAAACCTTCATTGTAACCGTATTAGTACTAAGTTACATAATTGTTTGTATAGATGCTTTTTTTTTAACTTTTTCATAGGAGATATTAAAATTCAACGTATTTGTAGAATCACATCAAGAAATTAACTGAATTCAAATGTACTGGGCTTGCACTTGAGAATCCTCATATTTACTAACTTAATTTACAACTCTGTATATGAAATATGGTAAAGTTACAGAAGATAAAGCCAGCTTACCCACTCTATTTTGTCACCTTCTCTTCTCATTGAGCAGATCGGCTCAGGCAGTAATGCTTCTGACTTGTTTTTGGGAGGTGCTTCGTTTGAATCTTGGCTGGGACTTCAACTGTCTTGGCAGATGTTTTTATGGCATTCCTCAGGCCATTTGGGAAAATATCAAGATAGTATCTTAAATTACATAAGGGCCACATACTTCTGCATTCTTTCCAGTTCATCGTTCAAGTATATAGGCTGAATCATTCAATTCAATTTATTTAAACATTCCGTTGATCCTTAGTGGTACAATAATGACCAGTAGATGTGGAATTAGTCACAGACAAAACCAGACAAGTCGCATCACTTTAACAAGATACAAATATAAATACATGATTGATTCATCTCCACAATACAGTATCTCAAACATTGGTCTAATATCTNGTAAATACATGATTGATTCATCTCCACAATACAGTATATCAAACATTGGTCTCATATCTAAAAGCAGATTATTTATTAGGACATTACACCAATTATTACTTACAAATAATACCCAGGCAACAAACGGGTCATAGATGCCTGCACACTTAATACCCATGACATAGATGGAACAACTTGTGTACCTCATATGACAGCTATATGTTTAAAATGTTAAAAAACTAATGTATTGATAGTACTAACAAGTCCTCCGCTAGGGACTTTAAGCCGTGTGTCCCGTGTCGTAGCTTTACTGCACATAAAATAACCTCATATCTCCAAAGGAGGTCACTGAGCCAAATTCAAGGACGTTTCCTGCCCAACAAGTATTCTCTAACACCTCTGATAGATGGGGGAAGCATTATAGATACTGCCAAGCTAATGGAGGCCGAACTCGCTGGGTCGGTCGGGACTGATGGTACGCACCAATATCGGTAGGATATAGAGACTGGTAGAATATCATAGAAGGAAGCACAATGGACCAATACTGGTCTAAGTGCATGGGGAAACCCACCCTCTTCAATAACTAACTGACTAATATGTGATGAATATTTATGAGCATATTATAAGTATCGTAAGAAAGTTTACTTAGTAGGGAGTATAACCCAGGTGTTTAGTTTACTTTACAATTAAAATATTCATCCAAGGAATAAAACGAATTGGAAAGAAGAAACCATTTTAGCATTGGTTTGAATAGTTTCATTTCACTACTCAGTCTTTTTATATGGGATGGAAGATGATTATGAGCTCTGATACCAGAGTAGTAGGGTCCTTCATGAAAAACTGTCAAATTTGATGTAGGAAGGTTCAAGTTTGTATTATGTCTAGTACTGAAGCTATGAATCTCATGATTCAATTTGTACAGATCTTTATTTTTTACGGCAAACAGTATTATCGAGTATATATATTGTGAATACATTGGCAGTATATTTAATTTTTTAAATAGATCCCTACAGGAGTCTCTGGTTTTTGCATTCATAATAACTCTAATTATCCACTTTTGTGTCCTAACAACATTGATACTGTTAGGCGTATTGCCCCAGAAAATTATACCGTATTCCATAATAGAATGCACAATAGGAGAAATAAATCATCTTAAGAGTTTTTTGTGACATAAAACCTTTTGCTGTCCTAATAGCATAACAAGCTGAACTCATTTCAGTTACTAATTGGTCAGTATGAAGTTTCCATGATAATGTTTCGTTTATCAAATTAAATAAACTATAAATAGTTCATCCCCCCCCTCTTTTTCCATTCCATCCCAGACCATGTCATCATCAACATATAATGTGCTCTGCCAAAAGTGTTTCATTATGTCAGGTAATATCTGCTATTCTGAGAGAGTATTAAAAGGTGCCAACCTTGGACAAAAGTCACCAGTTAACATTGATACTGTTGTGTGTTTCGTAGGTAACATGACAAGAAAATTTACGTGGGTCTCAGATTTGGGCGATCACTCTTTACACTCACAAATACAATTATTCGCACTTACACTGTATTCGGACGTTTCCTCTTCAATGGCATACGCTCTTGCACCACAAATCTCGGTGAAGTGTCTTCTGCTCTGCTCAGAGCTCAACTGTCCTTAGCTCTCATTGAAGCTAAACTGACTGGTCTCTTGCCAGATACGAGCTGTTATATCCTGCACTCTGGCTGAATAGGGAATACCTTGTCAAAGGGTTTAGTCTCGCCTGCTGCTATGCAAATGAATCTTTTGTTGCCATGGGAATACATTATTCCCGCTGTTTAGATATTGCTAGCCTCTTTGTAATGGTGGAAACCCCACTGTTAGACTTTTATCTCCCAGGGCAACGATTTCCTGGGCATTGCTGCCTAGGAATTGCTAGCTGTTGACATCTTATCATCCGTCCTTCCTGGTGGCATGTCACAATACTTCTTTGGCATGGGAAACCGCTACTCCAAATTGTTGGTGGCCCCCAAAGCCTGATCATTTCTGTGCTTGCTTTATCTACATTGTGGAACCAGAAACATGGGTCTGTTTAGTTACATAAACCAGAGTGGGGCAAGGGATTATTTTCATGAGTATTCTTTAGAATTGTAAGAGGGAACTGAAAACAGCAGTTCACTGTCTGTTGAGTTCATTGAATCATTGCTGTATGCTGGTCAAAAAGCCCTTTTGCTTGCATTATAATTTCAATGAAACTTTTTACATCATTTCAAACTATGTTCAGTGTCATATTTTATTACAGAAATTATGTAAATGAAGAATTGCCCTGTACACCTAGTACTAGATGTCATCTTTGCTGACCGAACAGCGTGTGTATGGGTATTCAGTTTTCTGTCATTTTTTATTTTAAGAGTCTGAGGAAGTTATGTACAATCATGGCAGCTGTCATAAGCTTCCAGTGCTTAGAGCTATCATGGTGTGCTGAAACCTGTGATCATTATTAAAGCTCTTGACATCTCAAGATGTTTTTCTAGCAGATGGGAGAGTAAAGTTTTTGGTGTGTTCCAACATATCATAAAAACAGGGAAGCTTTATAATATGTGACGTGTTCTAATATATCATTTTCTCTTATTATAGGGGTCTCACCTGGACAGATATACAACATCTTGTAGAAAAAGATGTAGGATTAGAAGGAGATAACGCAAAACATTTGAAATACCTTCGGACGCTGGCAAATGACTTGACTGGTAAGGATGAACTATTGCACTAATTTTTAAAAAACATTAACCCTTTCAGGTTTAGAGCTAGTCTGACATTAGGAAATCATGCTCCAGGCTGGGCCTAGCAGTTTTTAAATAAAAAAATAGCAATTGAAATCAGATCTGGCATTTGGTATTTACTTGCACAAAAGTCCTGCTGTGAACTCTGTCTGATATTAAGAAACACATTTCAGCCCAGTGTTGGATCAGATCTATTTTAAATCTGAGGAAAATAGTTGTATTTGGTATGTTAGGTGGGTCCCTGGCGCGTTCTCAGGTAGCAGATGGAGGAGACACCCTCCAGTTTTGGAGGGAAGCTGCAAATATATTGAATAAGCAGTTGCGGACAACCGACAAGGGGTAGCCCTCCAGCTTTGGGGTTGGGCATGTGGCTAAAACTCCTCACTGTAAGAAATCATTATGTTACGAAAATGAACACAAAGCCTCGGACCTGGACGGATTCTTTGGATAAATGACCTAAGCTAATGAAAATGGATATGAGATTTGGCACTTGGAATGTACGAAGTTTGTATAGGGCAGGTTTGCTCAGGGCAGTGGCAGAAGAAATCTTAAAATATAAGTTAGATTTAGCGGGAGTACAGGTCAGATGGGATGGAGGTGGCATCACACCAGCAGGAGAGACTATACATTTTTCTATGGAAAGGGGAAAGTTTTCAGCCATAGTGATCCGTAATAAAACCTAGTTTACATAGCACCATAAATTGACTTTTATGTATACCCCATAAAACATACCAAATTTTATTGAAATTCAATATGGGAGATTTCCACCCATAGTTGTCAGGCAGTTTTGGATTTTTAGCAGTATTGATTCATAGCAAAAGCTAATTTGCATAAGGACATATATGCTATAATCCCTCCATAAATTTTGTTGAAATCTGATGTGGGAACTTTCACTGATTTGCATATTATTATTCACATTTTTAAGTAAGCTTTATTAAACCTCACTGCTAATTTTGTGTACAACATGGTGGAGTACACCCTTTCCAATCTTGTTGTTATGCCCATGGGTCAGCTTATAATACACAAAGGGTTAACTGAGTGATGTAATCCATTATATTTTCTGGTGTGGTTGTCAGTTTTTCTTTGAGCAGGTTCTGATGTGTGCAATGTGTGCCTGTAGGTGGTGAACAGAATAAAGAGACCATAGATGAGGCAGCTGTGTTTTTGCTGAGACTTTTTCTGTGCGAGACTCTTGTTTCACAAAAGCATCTGTTGATGCTTAAACAGATGTTTGGTTCAGTCTCATCAAACTTTGCATGCAAAGTGCAGCAGGTAAAGAGAATTAAACTTCCAGAATTATCGGTAATGTAACTTTAAGACTGGTCATTGCTGTTTTACCATGTAAAACGAAATGAAAAGTGGTGTAGTTAGCATATGAGTGATTTTAATGTACAATCCTAACACTTGCATAGCTGGACTGATGGAAAGCCCAGACAGGATAAATGGTGCCCCAGCTGAGGCTTGAACCACCTCATTATAAAACATGGACGTAAACACTACATATTGACATTCAGTGAAAGTATTGGTTATGATTATTTATGTAAACGTAACATATGTTATATTTTTATACAATTCCCTTTGTGGTGGGATCTAAACTCGGTGGAAATCTATCAATGTTTCAGAATTTCTTAATTTGAAAGTGTTAAATGATAAAAGACATAAAAAAAGTATGGCTGTGATGATGTGTCATTTGATTCCTTGTGATCCAGTTGATTGAACTGTCCCAGAAGTCTGCTGTCATGACATTCACTGCCATTATAATGTCAGGTTTCATGCAGTTTTGAATTATCTTTGAGAAATGGACAGCATTTACTTCAGAAACAGAATAATTTAATAGAAAATTATGTGCTTGAATATTTCATCATGTAATTCTGTTTCAATATCTGTTCCTGTCACATGTTGGAGAAATAATCTCAGCTGTCAGTGGATTGTACTTAGAATACTTAATGGAAGACTGCACTGAAGAGAAAGAGATAAAAAGAAAAGGGGAAGAAAGACAAAAAGATAAGGACAATAATACATTGTTTAGTAATGTCTAGTTGTCACAATTGCTGGCTTTTGGTGTAGGTCATACATGCATTGCACAATGTATCTCTTTGTAGAAGTGTAAATTATATCAAACAGAAATCTATCCAAATGGGAGAAATGTGTAAGTATATTGCCACCTTTTTATCCTTCTTCTACTTGTAACCATTCTCCCCTCCACCTGATCTTTCCCTTGCCCCTGCCCCCCCTCCCCCTCCTTTTCTTGGCATGGGGTCATACCTGTTCCAGTATCACAGCTGTCTTCTAAGTTCTTTATCAAAGGCCGTGCCATAGCTCAAGCGGTTAGTCGCTGGCTTCCCACCGCGGCGGCTCGGGTTCGATCCCGGGTCTGGTCAAGTGGGGGTGGGTTTTCTCCGAGTATTTCAGTTTCCCCTGCCAATCTTCATTCCACCAAATTCTCCATCATCATAATCACCTGGGGCAGGCTACAATAGGCCAATAAGTGGCCGCCGTACCGAGTTGACCCAGTTTTACTCCACCCCCCACTAAGCGAAGTTCTTTACCTATATACAAATATTTGTTCCTTTGACATGTGTTTAAATGCAAGTGTTTGGGGTCTGTTTCTAGCAAATTCAGCATATAATGTTTCATGGGATGTATTTTATTTTTCAGAAGATTTGATTGTTTTTTGCATACTGATGCTGGATTTTTTTATGTCAGTGGTAACATAAACAGTGTTTTTGTCTTTTCTAGTGTGTGTCCCACATTGCATCACATTTGTCTGATGAGTGCATTGAGTATGTGAAAAATGGAAAGCAATCACCAAATGGACCACAGAAACAATTTGGTGAGAATGTTGAATTTACCTTCCAGCAGTCCGAACCTTCTTATCCTAGTACAAGCTCTCTTGTGGATCTTGGTGTGGCTAGAGGTAGCAAAATATTGAAGGACTTCTCAATGAAGTATGACGATATTGCAGCATTAATAACAAGCAAAGAAGATATTAAGAAAAATCACATTAAAAGGAATGGGGTTGGTAAATATTAATCTATATTTTACTGGTTTTTGCTCAATTTAAGAAAATGGCTTTGTATTACCTTCGATCACATCCAGCATGGACATACATCAATTTTCATGTAATTGCCTATCCACTGCCGAAACTACACACATCAATATTGTAGGCAGAAATTGGCTGATTTTCATGAAACTCAATATGAATATAGTGTTTTATTCATGTCTTTTCTTGGTTCCACTTTCTGTTGTTCAATAGTTATCCAACAATTAGACACTATATACTCTGAGACATTGACTGTCATTAAACAAACCATAACCATGAGACCTTCTCCATCTTGTTAGTTAAAAATAAGAGATTGAGAATGAGGATTAAAGTCATATCCAGGAACTAATGTACATCACCACCATGGCTGCTGTACATATTAGGAGTATGGAGTAAGGAACTACAAATGGTGTGTGTGCGTGTGCACTCGCGCGCGTTCGCGTGCTTGGAGAGGGGGATAATTACATTTTCATTCAGAATATTTTGCTATGATGACAGTGTGTGCTCTGTTATTGTAATTTATCTCACAGAAAAAACCTTTATTAGAATCCATCACAACACAACGTGACGGTCGAGATCACCATTACCTTAGCTACATGTTTCGGCTATTGTCTATTGTGAAATCCGAAGATTTTACAGCAATAACTGTGGAGTGTAGATACTATCTCCTTGGAAATAATGCCATGTTGTCTGGTAGAAGTTTATCAGTGTTTTGTTGGAGTATACTGCTTGCATCTTTGGGGTTCAAGAATAAGCCACAGGAGCCCTAAGCAAACCAACAGGAGCAAAGAGAAGCATGCAAGAGTGGAAGCTGTACTTTCTTCAACATGTCAATGAATTACACTGCTCATAGTCCAGAGGACAGAGACCCTTCATACTTTTTTCTTTGTCTTTGAATCTTATAATTGTTTCTGTTTTCCTTTGTCTGGCTGTAAAATATTTAACCTGTATTATATTGTCACGTGTTGGGTATGTAACGCGACAAATAACTTCATGCCGTTCTGGATCTAGCACTCTATTGCACATTCGCTCTTACACTTACACAATTCACAATTTCCCAGTTACTGCCATCTACAGTGTCACACTTACTTCTCCTGCTGGAGTCACTGCCATTCACTCGATACAACTTGACTCGTAAATCGAGTACTTACTCCGGCAAATGCTAGACTGTAACTGACTGGTTACTCCCTCTCACTAACGAATATTCCTCGTTATGTAGCTTCCACACTGACAACACAGAACACAGTTACATGATAGCTACCACTGTTGCGTAACGTCATGTTTACAGGCATTACTGAGGAACACTGCCGAGAGTTGTTTATTGTTGCATAGTAACCGTGATGTCCCCTGTTACGTCACCGCTGGGGAGAGGAATGGAGTGTTGACTGGCCTGTTACTATAGCAGTGGTAGTTGCTCCGATGCTGTTACATCACCGTTGGATTGGGGGGGTGGGTGTGTTTACTGAGCATTGTGCTGTCTGCGTCTCAGTATATCAAAATATTTTCCTTGAGCCCATCGATTCCAGGGATATACTATATCAGAGCTTACCAGTGAATTTTACTTGTTCTGAAAATATATTGCTGTTTATAATATGTTACAGTTTGGGAAATCATGGTTGGAAAGTGAAGTGCAGAAGTATTACCAAGCAAATAATTCAACAGGTCTGTCAGCTGATGAATATGTAGAGACCATAATTGTTATGCTGAAGTCGGGTCGTTCAGATGATGAGCTTCAAAATGAGGTAAGAAAATGCAGCCATATTATTGTAGATATGAATGAAGGATATTGGTGGGAAAGCCAGAAGGAAGAGACTACTGGGAAGACCAAGGTGTAGGTGGTTGGACAATATTAAAATGGATCTTAGAGAGATAGGATGGGAGGGTATTGATTGGATTGATCTGGCTCAGAATAGGGACCAGTAGAGGGCTCTTGTGAACATGGTAATAGACCTTTGGGTTCCATAAAATATTGGAAAATTCTTGAGTAGCTGCAGAATTGGCGGCTCCTCCAGTAGGGCTCAGATCCATGAGTAAGTAAGTAAGTAAGTAAGTAAGTAAGTAAGTAATGAATAAGGTCTCTGCTTTTCTTTTAGTTTACTTTCCAGCAAACTAAACTACTGCCCATGCTCACGCGCATGCACGCTTACCCCACCCCCCCGAATGTGCCAGTGTACAGATTCTGAATTTGGCAATTTTTAGAAATTACATTTAAGAGGTTCTGAAACATCTGAATATACAAGGATGTTATTTTATGTCATGGAACTTGATTACATTCACTTCCTGACAAAATTAACCCTGTTTTTACCTTTTACAGCTGTTTGACCTATTGGGCTTTGACAGATTTGAGTTGATTCAGTCACTTCTAGAACACAGAAAAGACATTGTACATAATGCCTCTTTTTCAGAGGAGAAGAAATGTGTTTCATCAAAGTCAGGTAAGATTAATCTGTAGCTGTTTTGTTCCTAGACACAGTGAGGCCTTTGAGTCATGCCTAGGCTTCCAGAAATACTCGCACCCACTTCTGATAGGGGAGTAACAGAGGCCAGTGGAAAACATGAAAATATTTGTCTGGGGCATATTGTTAGGCTCTGAATTTTTTGAGGTGTCTGATATATTTAAGTTGTCTTTCTGGAGCATTGATCATGTTGTTGGAAACCAAGTATAGCACAACCATGAGTGTGTGGGAGTTTATTAGTTTATTAAATAAGGGGGGGGTTACTTTTAATATCCAAATATGGTTGAAATGCCCCAAATGTAGCATTTCACTAGTTTCTTTCTCAAATTTAAGTCCAATTTGCTGGTAAAAAGATTCTTCTTCTTGCTAAATGCAGCTTTTGCCATGGCAATCCTGGATTTAATTTCACTAGTACACCTTGCATCATGGTTATATAACAAGCACAATTTATATGCCTGTTAACTGAATCTGGAATGTTGTGAATCATTAGCTCCTGACCAAAGAAGACCAAATTATGGATGTCAAGTTGTTGTGCAATCAGAGCAAGAAAAGTTGCTGTTGAAACAAGTTCGCAAAGAAGAGAAAAAAGTTAACAAATTTGTGAATCGTAATGATGAAGAGGATGCTGAGGAACCTGAATTTAATCCTATTGAACTAAGAGCAAAAAGGTAAATTATTTTATTTGAGTGTTTAATTTGATACTGGGTTAAGTATGGACCCTACATAGTGTTTTGCATATGGATCACAATACATGCTAATGTTGTGGAGTACGTATGCTTGCTGTAAATGTCATGTTTGGATACTAGTGAGGGTTCTAATTATCCCATTAGCTGTCCACCAGAAACATGGGGGTTTTCCTTCTATTTATCTTCCCACCACATTCTGCATTTATCTTACAACCAAGCCTCTCCATCAGTCTGTTTTTCTCTATCTGCTGCCGCTCCTCAGTTTCTTCCCACATTCTTTCTTTTATTTGCATGACGTCTTTACAAACCTGTTGTTCCTATCTTATATTGATGTAGATCTTCGAAATTTTCCTTTCAGTCTCATGTTTGAAACTTTTGGGATTCTCCATTCCTTTTTAAAATGTGCCCATACCATTTTACTTGATTATTTATTAATTTGTCAACTATATTTATTTTGTTTCTTTTCTAATTTTTAAGGAAAGCATCCTGTTGTATGTTAGTGGTATATATGAGTATTCATTTTTCTTGTCAAACACAACAAGCACCAAATAACTCACATTCTATTGTGCATGCTTGTCTTTATTGGTCGTATAGTATCACTGTGTGTTTCGGCTGATGGAGCCATCATCAGGTAATACATAACAAGCCTTGTATTAGTGAATTACGCCTCCTATATGGATCGTATAATGTGTTTATCTTTGTGTTATGAATAATTTAAAATATGGCATGCCTCTCTTACTTTTACTAATCACCTTTATATGCACAGATTAAGTGGTTGTGTTTCTGTACTGAACCTAGACTGGTTTAAAATGTATTAAACAAGTATTTAAAACTTATTAAAAATCTTAAAATACTAAACACTATATTGAAAAGTTAAAATAATATTAAAATGTTAAAATTAAACTTGTGGAAATAGCATGTTCTGGATATTTGTAGTGTTTAATTCCCATCCTTAGTTTAAATAAATTAGATGTAGATTTACTCTGTTGGTCATGTTGGACTTTTTATTGTCTGTGACTGTATTTCATCTTATGGCTATTATCTTGATCCAAAATGTTGTGAATATGATGTAACCGTCTTCACTTATGTTGTTTATAATATTTCGACATTTGGCATTGGATCATGGTTGGGTGTGATTTGCTCCTAAGTTCAGTTAATGTTTACTACTTAGGGCATCTATGTTTAAATGTTGTCCAATTTTATCTTGCTAAATTATAATGTGTCCTTAATCCATGTCCTTCCATGATCTGCTTCTGAGCTGTAATCATTAATTACAAGGTGGTTCAGATGTGACTGGGACTGATTTTTTTTTTTAAGCCATAATTGCCAAACACTTACTTGCACATGTCAGTCTTCAACGTACTCCCCTCCGGAGTCAACACATTATTTCCAACATTCTGGAAGCATCCTGATGCCCTTTTTAAAAAAGACTTGTGGTTGGTGGCGTATCCAATCCTGAACAGCGTGGATGACGGCGTCGTTTTCCACAAACTGCATGCCTTGCAAGCCTGATTTGAGCCTTCTGAACAGGTAGAAATTAGCTGGGGCCAAATCGGGACTGTATGGCCAATGTGTCAGAGAGTTCCATTTCAGTTTCCGGAGGGCTTCCATTGTTGTTTTGGCTGTATGGGGGCATGCATTGTCTTGAAGGAAGGCTACCCGCTTTCCAGCTGTCTTCCACTTGGATCGGATCTTTTCCTTCACGTCTGTTGCCAGGAGGTCTGAGTAATAAGCTGCATTGACTGTTCTGGCATCTGTCAGAAAGCCTACATGGATAACCCCCCTGCCAGTCCCAGAAGAACGTTGCCATCACTTTTCCTGCCGAACGGCTCCTCCATGCACAATAGGCATGACTAATATGTATTTTCCCTTCAAAAGCTGAATATAATCATATTATATTACGAGTGAATTTACATGCTTTTCATGTATAATTTCCTTATAGGCCTATGAGATCAACAAAAAATCGTCCTGTGATTGACTGGTCGATTGCGATCAACGCATTGGACATGCCTGATCTAGACAATTGGCTCAAAGATGGTGGTAAGGTTGTCAGCCTTACACACCAGCCACTTTGCATGGACCCCATGGAAAACACAGCCTCTGTTGTTAAGGAGGTGTGTTTACTGTTTCATTGCCTGACAATGGACATCCTGTTCTTGTTCAGAGTGTCTGATGCGGGAATGTCTTTACATGTCACAATATTATCAGAAATTGCCCATACTGGAATAAGATCTGAATGGCACTAATGCTGTTAACAGTGAATTAATATTAACTTTGCAAGTCTTACGGCATTTTTATCATCTTGCTATAGCATATGATATTACTTTGTATCTTGTTTGGTACAATTGCTACATTGCAATATGTGGAAGGCATGTAGTGAATTTAATTCGCAGTGAATATAATCCTGGCATCAACCCGAAACTCATTCTTTTCAGTTAGAAATATGTTGATTCATTTATGTCCCAAGGAAGCCTTTAGTTTTTCATCAACTGTTAGTACCTAGGAAATGTTCAATGAAGAACAGACTGTTGTTCTTTGCCTCTTGGTTCTCTTCCTTTCACCTGCATACTTTAAACAATTCTGACATAAAAGTCGTCAAGCAGGCTTTAAAATTATTAACATACACTTCAGATCATAAATTTATTATTATTAGCATTGTGTTTTTTATATGTGACACATCTTGTATGTTCTCATACTTAATCTGGTAACACAATATCCATTACAGAAATTAAAGGTTACCAAAATTAGGAATGATTGGTTGAAAGTCTAGAAAAGAATAGAATTTATGTGCATTCTGTAGAACCTTTGTAGGCCTAAGCTAATATTGTAGAAGAAGTCATAAGTATTTGTTTGCAACACAAATATGAATATAACTTTATAGGCCTAAGCTAATATTGTAGAAGAAGTCATAAGTATTTGTTTGCAACACAAATATGAATATAACTTTATAGGCCTAAGCTAATATTGTAGAAGAAGTCGTAAGTATTTGTTTCCAATACAAATATGAATATAACTGCATCTACAGACATTCATAAGTGCAGGCATTTCTTGTGGTATGTGAAAAAAAAATATGCAAGTCTGTGTATGGAACACATACTTCTATAAGACAGCTTGTCTGAAACAGGAAGACAGCAATGGTGTGAGAAATTTTGTCAGAATCAACCAAGAGCTAAAAATATTGTTGAAGTAACATCTCTTTCTAAAGAAGTGTGAACACACACACTAACCATCTGTGTCCAAGGTGCAGGGGATTTCTTGAAAAGCTGTTAGTTTTAGAGATGATAAGGAAATTCCCTGCCTGAATTTTCATTGCCATGTGTGTCATTGAACATCATCCTGAGCCAGTTGAATGCATCCTGCATTCTCATACACTGTTTCTCTAAGATCCTCCCATCTGTGCCTAGGCCTCTGACTAATATCTAATGTTTTCCATGTCACCCATGTACTTTAGTTCATGCCCACATCTTCCTCCTTCATTTATCATTCCAGTAATTTTAGATGGAGAATACAATGGATGAAGTTTCAGCTGGTGTAATTTTTTCATATAATGACAATCATTTGTGTTTGTAGCATTTCTGATTTTGTGTTGCGTATTCCCTGTTGGTTCCTTGACAGATATTCCAAGAGAGTTTAACTTCTTGTTGACGTTATTCATGGTCCTACTTATTTGTTAGGATCAAGTAGTCTCCACAGTGCTTTATTCTGAAACACCCTCACAGTTTCATCTTCCCTTACAGTGAGAAAGCAAATTTCATTTAGAGTCTAATTGTATGATTGAAACAAATTTTTTAGGCAAGCAACATTAAAGGCTGCTATGAATGCTCCAATACTCCGAAACCGGGCGAGGGCAGCACAGTTGCAGGAGAACTATCCCCATGTGTATGATTCCCAGAAACAAGCACAGCAGACTTCAGGTTTGTTATACTGTCAATATTTTTCATCATCATATCCACTGTGATTAATGGAAGATTGTGGTAGACTGAAAGAATATCTTATGTTATCACTTGTGTTTCCATATTACTGATTGAACTCCCAGAATTGTTGTCTCTCTTTCCCTACAGCTAGCTCCATGCCTGTTGTTAACCCTTTGTTTCCCATATACTGACTAGATCTGCCTGGATACTTGATTTGCAACTGATACAGCCAAAGAGATTGGCTGGTTATATGTCAGCACTGGATTTTTGTCAGTAGATAATGTTAAGTGTGACACACTGAAGTTCAAAGGAAGGATAAGCTTTCACTTTAAATATTTCTGGTTTTGTTTGAAGGTCATTTGAGGATTGTGTGGTGGGTTTTTCTATTCAGCTGTATTCACCATCAAGCAACCTTAGCATTTTTAGGCAGGTATGGGTACTTCTGTGATGGAGCTAGTCAGTCAAGCAGTGATTTAGCAAAGCATTACATAACCTGTGCTGGAGTAGGGTTTTGTTACATGATGTGTACATGTCACCAGATTCTCAGTCTGTTTCCAATGGATGAAATACTGTTATAGAGACTGGTACTTTATTGAATATGTAAACAAATGTGAGATTAAGAAATACTCGGTTTTGTCGTACTGTTATAGGTGTATACAGATTTGTATTTTGAAATCACTGTTATCTTGTCATGTACGTATTTGGACGTGTGTATTTATTTTTGTCACTCAGTCTTTTGTTAAAGATAGTGAAGTCTTGTATCTGATTGTGGAAAGGTGATACTAATTTGCTTGCATTTGATGGAATTTTGAGTTTGGATTTGATTCTCCCACAGGATTCATAGCTGGTGTTAAAATGATGATGTCTGCTGATGTCAAGAGGACTAATACCAAGCAATATGAGGAAATTAATATTCCAGTATCAGAACCAGCACCAGTCTCTGTAGGAAATAATTTGGTACCAATTTCTTCATTGGATGAGGTGAGAAGAATATTTTCTAACGGCTAAAGTAAGGTCCCTGTTTTTAATCAGTTAAGCATCATACCATGAAGGCGCATGGAGACTGGGGATGTAGATCCACATATTCTTGATTACAGCATTGGGTGGAGGTTAATGGGTGGTTGCATTCCCTAGCTGCTTTACCCAAATGAAAAGTCTTAAGTATCCATAAGATAGGAAGCTGGATAGACCTAAGGATTTGTCTGGACACCATAGAAGAGAGAATCTTTCGTTCCTGCTGAGAATAAACGTCAGTTTTCTCAGCCATCCAGCCCATCATTACAACTGAGCTGCCCTGACACTATCAGTTAGAGTAGTTAACTACAGTTAGACTAGTTAATCATGTAATATAATCATTCTTTGTATTAGAAAGAGTGACAGAATGGCTTAGAAAATTGTATTGGTGAACATTCGTTGGAGCCATGGAGACCAAGATTAAAATATGAAGTGCATTGACGGACATTTCCTTTATATAGTAAATTTGTTGTGGTTTTCTTGTTTAAAATGGCAGTGTTGGCTGAGAAATATATATTCAGATCTGATCATTACAATACAGGATAGAATTAGATCAAGAATTGCTAATGAAACATTTAAAAGTAAAAAAGAAACAAATGAAAAACATTATATAAGAAATGCAAAGTATGGAGAGTTTATCTTCTGGGATATAATGCCATGCAGTGTGTTCAAAGTGAGGTTGTGTTTTGGAGGAACATATCACTTCCATCTTCATGATCAAAGAATAAGCCAAGCAAGATACCGGCAGGTAGCTGGCAGAGCTAATGGCGGAGGCAACATGTTTCTCCACAGCGTTAGTTGACTCTCAGTGGACTGGACATTGTTATTTCCCAGAAGATTTGCTTAGTGGGGGATGGATCACCTGAATGTCTGGCATTTGAGTAAAACCCTCTACCAGTAGCACTGTTAGTGATTTACGACTTGATTCAAATGTGCACAGTATTTTGTTTACAGGTCGGCCAGATGGCGTTCCAAGGTGTGAAGACACTGAACCGAATTCAGTCTGTTGTGTTTGATACAGCATACCACACCAATGAAAATTTACTGATATGTGCACCAACAGGGGCAGGAAAAACCAACATAGCCTTGCTCACAGTGGTGCACCAGATCAGGCAATTCATTGACCAAGGTGTTATCAAGAAGGATCAGTTCAAAATAGTATATGTGGCACCCATGAAAGCTCTGGCAGCTGAAATGACACAGAACTTCAGCAAGAAGTTGAATTGTCTTGGGATATCTGTGAAGGAACTAACAGGAGACATGCAGCTGACAAAATCAGAAATAATGCAGACACAGATGCTTGTCACTACTCCTGAGAAGTGGGATGTAATCACAAGGAAAGGAACAGGTAAGATGCTCTGTAAAAACAGTGAGGTTCCTTTGTGAGGCCAGATTCAGGCAGAAGAATTTGACACTTCTGTTATCAAGTTATCAGTTACATGATAGGTACCCCTGTTGCCTGACACTGTGTTTACAGGTGTTGCTAGCAACGCTGTAGGGAGTTGGTTATGGCTGTATTCCTTGTTACGTCACCGCGGCAATGGTTGCCTGGCGCAGCCGTTTCTCTGCCACGTCACCGTGGGGGGGGGGGGGGTTTACCGGTCATTGCATACTTGTGGAAGGAGTGGGGGTATGTGACATCACTCTCGAGACCGCAGAGTTCACATGACCCCTACTTCCCGTTGCACCATTCACGTTACAATACATAAGTGTTTTGCAGCTGTTCTGTCAAAGAAAAAAGCCACTTTAGGTGTGTTAAGCACTGTGCAATCATTAAATAGTTTCTGTTACCAAACATATGTGAGGGAAGACTGAGTAGTCAGAACCAGTCTGCTATAGTTTGAGAGCTGATTCAGGAGGGAATGTCACTTAAAATGTCAAAACAGCATTATTCCTATTTTGAACCATTGGGGAGGTACTGGTGATTTAAGATGTGCAAACAGCATGATGCCTGCTGCTGTGAAATTTGATAGATGGCAACACAGGTCATGGTTTCAGTTAGCTCCTTTGAAATTTGATAGACGTCAGTGCTAGTAATGGTTTCAGCTGTATAAACACTTTTTATTGCCAGTTGTTTTTTACCCCTCATTGAATGATAGTCATGATATTGCATTAAGATAAGGTCAGAGTCATGTTGTCTTCATGCATGTTTCAGCAAAACGAATTAACAGTTCACGCCCACTGAATACGCTGGTATCCATGACATTTATAGATTTTGTGATTAACATCAGGGTAGCAGTTGACAAATAACATAGGAAATGCCAAATCCTGAAGAGGCAAGTTTATTTCTATGTGGCAGAGATTATGGAAAATAAGGGTGGTTGGTCCACAGAACCAAGTATATAACATAATTACATACCATGGTGTTAATTATTGAAGCACTAATTGTACATTACCTTAGGGAAGGAGATGAGATGTGATCTTTAATTTTAGCAACCAATGTGATTTACAGGAGATGTTGCATTGACAAATCTGGTCAAATTGCTCATCATTGATGAAGTGCATTTATTACATGGAGACAGAGGTCCAGTTGTGGAAGCACTTGTTGCAAGAACTTTGAGACAGGTGAGTATACTTTATGGTATACTTGTATTTGCAGAAAACTCTTGTAGGCAGGAAAGGAGAAGAATCCAAGATAACTGAAAATAATGGATAACCTAAATGCCGATATCTAGTGAATTCTGTTTAAAGCTGGAACCTGTAATGAACTGTGGACTGTAGAGTTTGCTGATCATGCTACTGCTCATTAATCAGTGAGACAGCTATCTTTCCCATAGAAGAAAGCTGCCCTTGTTCAGTGGTAGGCCTTTGCAGAAAACAGTAAAATTATAATGAAACCTTGATTCATCTTTTTTGTCAGGGGTCTCCAACTTCAGGTAAAACCTACTGAGTTGAGCCCAATGGTACTAATGTACTGTTGTCACAAACTCTTAGATCTTATTTGTTTTACTGTTTTTCTCCTTTAAACAGGTTGAGTCATCACAGAACATGATTCGTATTGTGGGTCTTTCAGCCACTTTACCAAATTATCTAGATATTGCAAGATTTTTGCGAGTGAATCCGTACATTGGTCTCTTCTACTTTGACTCACGTTTCCGTCCAGTTCCTCTTAGCACAACGTTTGTGGGTGTAAAAGCAATTAAACCACTGCAGCAGATGAGTGATATGGACGATATATGTTACGAAAAAGTTGTGGACATGGTGCGGAAAGGACACCAGGTTTGTAAACCATATTTTTTTGTTTTAAATTAATCTTTGTGTTAGTGATAGGCCTTTAATTTGATTGCTTAAATCCGTAGCTGCTAATTCTGTTTTTAGTATTTTCAGACTTTTTGACTGTGAAGGAGGAATGTGAATCTTGAATTTTCAAGGTCAAATCAAGGCAAAAATGTCTTGATTTGTGCACTGGCTATCCAATTTTGTACTTGGTTAAAATCAGACAACACAGTATGAGTCAGGAATGTTTATTTTCTAAATAATCTTCCACAGTCTGCCTACTGTGTGACGCTTTAGTACCTATGCTGTTGAAAAATATTCATAATAAACCTTTGGGTCAATGAACCATTTGCCTAGACAGTAGGAGTATATGTTATAATTGTCTTCTGTTGAACTGTGGTTTAAATTGTCATTTTTACATGAATAGAGTTGATCACTGTAGTGATGTGGAATGGTTTTGCAGGTAATGGTTTTTGTACATGCCCGTAATGCTACGGTAAGGACAGCAATGGTACTGAAAGAGAATGCTGTGCAGTGCAACCAACTGAAGATTTTTGAACCAGATGAAAATGGAGCTGTTGGACAGGCAAAGAAGGCATTGAGCCGGTCACGTAATAAACAGCTTGCAGAGTTGTTTCCGTGTGGTTTCTCTATACATCACGCAGGAATGTTGCGCAGTGATAGGTAATGCTCCTTCAAGTTCTTTTAAAGAATACGAAGATGACCATGTTTTCTCATGCTAACTGATGTTTGTCTCTAATTTGCATATAAATATAAGATATTTTTACATTCTGTATATTGTTCCATACAGTGGTTTTGGTGATTCTCTTACCATGTGTGTACTGCCCCAAGGTAGGATCATAGGAAGACCCCAGGGAAGCAATTTAGACCAAAATGAGTTCTAGTCTAACTGCCACTTGTCCTTGAAGTTAGTGCCAACTTTAGTGGATAGAGGGTTTCGCATGGTCAGCGCTATGAATCCCCATGGCTGTTAATTTTGGCATTCTATACCAGAACCACAACTTCGTCATTCAAGTAGCTCGTCAGTTATCCTCACGAGGCTGAATGGACCCCGTTCCAGACCCACTATTTCTCAGAAAATCTGGTAACGTTGGGAATAACCCAGGCCTCTGGATCCATAGGCAGGAACTCTGACCACTAGACCACAGAGGCCGTCACATACATACATACATGCATGTATTTTGTTTTGTTCTTCAGATCATTGGTGGAAAAGTATTTTGGTGATGGCTTAATCAAAGTATTGGTCTGTACTTCAACCTTGGCATGGGGTGTGAACCTGCCAGCACATTGTGTGATTATTAGGGTAAGTTACACCATTTAGTTTCCAGGCAGAGGTCTATGACATTAAGGCATGCACAGTTGAGAATTTAGATAGGAACTATAGAAATGGGAACATCTATATCCTATCAGACAGTCAAGCTGCGATTAAAGCACTTGGTACACACCATATAACTTCAAAATTGGTCTGGTACTGCCACCAGTCCCTCATACAACTGGCCAAACATAACAGAGTTCAGCTGATATGGGTGCCAGGCTATGAGGGTATTGTAGGGTATGAAAACACATATCAACTGGCAAGAACAGGATCTGAATAGCCACTCATAGGACCTGAACCAGCTTGTGGCATCTCAGTAGGAGAGTATTGCTGGGAATGAAACCGCAGATCAACTGGCAAGAACAGGATCTGAACAGCCGCTCATAGGACCTGAACCAGCTTGCGGCATCTCACTTTGGGTTGCCAAAAAAGCGTTCAGGGACTGGACTGATAGAAACCATAAAAATACTGGGAATCCATAATCGAACTCAGACAGGCAAAGGGTTTTATAGCAGGATCCTCTGTCAGAAGAACGAAGGATCTGTTGAGATTAAACAGAGATCAACTAAGATGGGTGGTAGGGTTACTTACCAGACACTGCCACCTGAAAGGACACCTTTTCAAGTTGAGACTGACAGATAACCCAACTTGTGGAAGGTGCCTACAAGAAAACGACTCAGCCACACACATACTGTGTGATTGTGAGGCCATAGCTTATTTAAGATTTTGTCACTTGGGTCAGTTTTTCATGGAACCAAGTGACTTTTATGATGCCCCCATAAGCAGGGTCCTACACTTTATTAAAAGTGTATGATTAATAAAGGGCTAATCCAAGGGGAAGCACAGGCTGTGCCATAGCTCAAGCGGTTAGTCGCTGACTTCCCACCAAGGCAACCTGGGTTCGATCCCAAGTCTGGTCAAGTGGGATTTGTGGTGGACAAAGTGGCGCTGGGGCAGGTTTTCTCCGAGTACTTCGGTTTCCCCTGCCAATCTTCATTCTACCAATTGCTCCGCAGTCACCCTCACCTATCATCTGGGGCTGGTACAGTAGGCCAGAAGTGGCCGCAGTACAAGGGACGTAGTCCCACCCCACTAGCAATAAAAAAAGGGGGGGAGCACAATAGATCATTGAAGGTCGCAGTGCTGGGGCCGGTTTCTATGGCCCACCCCTTACCTACATACACCATTTATTCTGTTTTTTTGTCCATATTTTACTTCCTGCCTTTTACTTGTCTTTTCACCTTTTTCCATCCATACTTTGCAACTTCCTTCTTGAATTATTTCTGAATTTTTTTGGGTTAATTATGAAATCATATAAATGGCTCTAACTATTACATTGTATTACATTGCTTTGCTTTGAGGTGCTGAGGGTCCAAATCTCAGCCCAGAGATCATATATCGTAACTGAGGTTTTTGTGGTTTTTCTCATTTTCTCCAGGAAACTGCTGGGTTAATAACATAACATAGGCCATGACCACTTCCTTCCGTAACATTTTCAAGTGATGATTCATAATGTAGCTAAAATTACAAATATGTAACTAATGTGGCTATGGAGCAGTGCCCTTCTTTAGAAGCTGAAAGTTGGTGTGAAGTCAAGAAACTCTGCCTTTATGGAATCAAAAGACAAGAGTGTACCATTCTTCTGAATATGAGTCACTTGTATCTAGTTCACTCTCTGACATTAATTTTTTTGACATAAATTTTATTGTCCTGTAATCTCTGCATAAGTCTTCCAAGTGATCCTTCTCAGGTTTCCCAACAAAAATTTTGTGTTTTTCATCTCGCTCATTCTTTAAAGAGGTGTATTGCTTATGCACTTCAGTTCTAGTCATTCCTGACTCTTTTGGGTGACTGTCATGGTAGCATGTTGTAGAGAAAAATTAAGAAAACTTTTTCACATTTTTTTACATTTTCACATTTGTGTCAGAGTTCACATTTCTTATTCAGTAATAATCATCTCACGAAATGTGAAATGAGACACTATGTAAGAGCAGCAAAGTGTTCATGTATACTGTAATTTTTCATGTTTTTGTTTTCAAGGGAACAGAAATCTATGATGCAAAGCATGGCTCATTTGTTGATTTGGGGATTCTTGATGTATTGCAAATATTTGGACGAGCTGGCCGCCCTCAGTTTGACAAGTCTGGACATGGAATTATCATCACATCTCATGACAAACTGACTCATTACTTGTCTCTTCTGACGAATCAGCTCCCTATTGAAAGTAATTTTATTTCATGTCTGGCTGATAATCTCAATGCAGAGGTAAAGTACACAGCTTTATTACATTAAGTTTGATGCTTTGTGGTGTAACCCCTTCTGATACTTTGTCTCATATCCCAAAAACCCCATTTCAGTTCTTCATTTAACGGAATCAGTATGTCTGTTTTGTATTCTACTTCACTGTATCTGCTGACAGTTTCCAGTGAAGAGACTTGAAAATTTTGGTGTAGCAAGAAACAAAATCGATGAAGATACCGTTCTTTCATAATTTAATTATTTACTAAATTAATTTTAAGTGTAAATATTATGAGTTATTTAATGGGTGTCATTATCACATGATTAGCTTCACACAGTTTAATTAATGTTGTCATTATCAATGCACTCTTTACAGTAAATCTTATTTGTTTAGCTTAACACAGTTCAGTAGCTATCACCATTACTGAGGCACAGTTTACATTAAACTAAATGCACTAGATGAGACTTTTTGTTTAATTTTTTACATTTAAAATACATCTGTGTAAATTTCCCAAATTAAGATGTCTAGGTAATTTGTAATAAGATTTAAATATCTGCCCAGTAAGTAAGTTCTTTTCTTCTTCAGTACGCATGGTTCAAAGAAGGTCCTGTCCAGCCGTGTCATTTCTTTCCAGTTAACTGAATATAATACTGAGTTTAATTCACTTGTTCCATAATCCATAAGCCATTCTTTTACAGGACTCAGTCTGATGATTTAAAATGTAAACAGTAAATTAAAATTGGCCATAGTGATCCATCATATTCAGAGACATGGACTCAAATGGAGAAGGTTCTATATTCTTATTCAGACTTTCTGAAAATCAATATCGGACTGAGTCATGACTTTATGTTTTCATACGTTGAAAAAAATTGCCTCAAAGGGTTAAGTATTTCTGCTCTTCTAATACATCTGTTAAATTGAAAGATTCAAGAAATACATCACCCACTTGTCATGAACAACTTCGTGAAGATAGCTGCAAATGTAAAAATACCAGTATGAAGCATCTGTTCACAGATTCATTTTCTTAAGTGGCTAGTACATTTTAATTGTATTGTGCTATGTGGAATTTATTGCTTGTCAGAGTTTCATAATACATGATACTGGTTTACAGACTCAAGCTGAAACATATTTTTTTTTTGCTGTATTTGCTATTTTGATGCACCTTACAGTGACATCTTTAGAAAGCATGCACTGATTATGTGTCCTGCAGTGATCTGTTAGATGATCAGTACAGAGAAAGAACTTTGTCTCAGAGACTGTTCTTTCTCCTGTCTTTGGGAACTAAAGTGAAGTATGATTATTTAATAGGCCATTATGTATGTGTCTAAACCTTTTAAATCCCTGCCTCCTTGTGGAGGAGCTGGTGAACAGGGGAGCAGTGCGGAGACTTAAGTGGTCATCTATCCAGTAGTGTATCATTTATGCTCCGAGTGTCTCTAGATGACTTACAGACAGTGTTGCACTTTCATTGGGTATCAACAGGATGTCTTTTCATTTCAGTACTGAATATTTTGGTGCATAGTGTATATTTGTGTAATTGAAGTTGGCATAGTAATGATAATTGTAATGTAAATGCTTCTTTGAAACAGCGTTACAAGAAATGTGTGGCAGCACTGTATATATATTTTTGTTGTGTTTAAGATAACACTGGGAACAATTTCAAATGTCGATGAAGCTGTGCAGTGGCTGAGTTATACATACCTATTTGTTCGAATGAAAATCAATCCTCAGTGCTATGGTTTCAACTATCAGGATGCTCATGTAAGTTGCAGTTTTTGAAATATCTCTAAATAAAGCAAAACCTCCAAACAACAACTGAAGCATGGATCCAAGCTTGAAAAATTGCGTTTTATTTTTCCAAGCTGTAATGTACACAAAAATCTGTATGCTGTAAGAGTGCAATCTTTATTGCAGTTTGGAATACCCATAATTCTAAAATGCATTCTTTGTAATTTTGCATTTCTCAAATTCTTCATGTCTCCATATTCATTTATTAGGGACTATTATATTTTAGTGAGCAGCCTTGGAACCTGGGCCCACAAGGCTATCTGCCACCCCCAGGGGCCTTCCAACTTTGGCGTCACAATTCTTCCACACTGAGTCAATTCCACACTGTTGCTGCTCTTCATGGGAGGGAGGGGGAATGTGGTCATGCCCCCAGGGTGCCAAAATGGCACTTATTCCTCTTTCAGTCATAGCATGAGATGAACTCGTTGGTGATCTTAGTGATGAGCACCCAATCAATGGGTATCACCTTAGGGTCAACTCTGCCAACATTTCTTCAAGATGAGAGTCTCCTCTGATGCCATGTGTAGGATGTATGGCTGAGTCACTTGGGTCACTTCTCTCAGGGAGTCCTGCAGTTATGTTTGGCCTGGTGATCATCATAGATGCCTTGGTGTCAGTGATCAAGAAACGTGGTTTTTCTCCTGTCCCCAGCATTTAGACTGTCATCAGTCACCTTCCTTGCCTACATGCTGACAGTTTATTGAGGGAGCAGGACTGATGGCACCACTGTCTTGTAAGTGGCATGTTCTACCTGTCTCTTGGGTTCCTGTTGACATTCTTCCAAGCAGTAATTCTGGAGGCACTCATGTTGACAGTCTCTCCTAAGGCTGATACCGCCTTACTGCAAGCTTACCAGTTTCCTAGTCCTTCTGTACTTGGTCTCTTGTGGTAGAGGTCCTAAAGGTGCTTCAGGGGTTGTGATGTATTCTCCTGTTGTCTTCACAGCCCTAAGACTTAGTTTTGGGCCTCATTGAGCACCACTCTCAAGCCTTTCTGCCAGTTGAATTCTGAACTCTTGCCTTGACCTTTCTATCCCACTGTATCTCATTGCCATTTTCCTCATGATGGTTCTAGGCAGACTGGAAGGCACTTAACTGCAACTTCCATCTTTTCTTGGTCGGCCCTCATTTTGTCCCTCGTCTTTCTGAACATGTTGCTTAACAGGCTTACCAACCTGTCCAGGATGAGGTCCAGAAACACCTGCAGTGCAGGATCTGTTTCTAGTCCATAATTAACCACACACAGTCCCACACTTATGATACCATTTGTCACATTATATTGACTATACAGGGGTTCAGATTAGTAATTGTATTTATTGAACACTGAATCATCACATTCACAAATAACTACACAGTTCACAAGTGTTCTTCACCATTTCACAATCTGTTATTTCACTCTTGCTTGGTTCTTTCTTGAAATAACAGACTGTCTCCAATGCATCCCATCATTATTGGCTCTCTCACTGGTCAGTCAGTTGGTTAAGTAAATTGCTGCTGTCCAGCACCACCACGTTCAATTATGACCATTTTTTTTGTTCTTTCCAAACTTTTTAACATGTTTTAAAATGGTGCCTTCTCTTTGATGAGAAGAGGCATCTATTACTAGTCAATCCCTCACTACAGGGCGGTGACTCCTCACGTTCTCTCACCAGCTCCAATGTGCCAATTTATATTGGCTTGTTGCGGACAGATTATAAGATGCCACTTCTGACTGTTGTGCTCATAGTCGTTGCATAGCAATTGGATACCTCTGCAACAGTTCTGTGATTCCAAGATTTTGCATTTTCAGTATCATGGCACGGTGCATACCAAACAGGCTGGTGTAGTGGTGACTGTCTAGACTTGGAGTCAGGAGTCGCTCTCTTTGAATCTTGGCTGGGACACAAACTATCCTGACTGAGAGTTTTATAGTTAACCTCAGTTCCTCCAGGCAAATGCTGGGATAGTACTTCAGTTACTTTATGACTGCTTCCTTCCAAATCCTTTCCATTTCACCATTCATCAGCCATCTTAACATTCAGTGCTGTATTGTCTGCAATGTTGATAGCAATGTAAAATAACCCAATAAAGAGAAGTAATACATGTATAATATCAGTAGTAATGTCTCTCTAAATTGACAATAAAAAAAGAACTTTTGTCATTGTGTACTAAACTGATTATTCATTTAAGTAACTAAACTGATATTACACATTGATGTATTATTAAATTATTATTATTAAATGATCAGAGCACACAGTTTTTTAACTAACAGCATGGCTAGACAGGAAAGTCTGTCCTGAAATTTCAGAAAATTTTGTGTGTGGTAGCTACTTGTATTTAATGTCTCTTCGTTCTTTGAACTCGCACACAAGTCATTTATGTGACCTTAGAACACAGTTGCTGTGGTGTATGCCATTTAAATAAAAGTCATTTTAAAGTAAACATAATTTCTTATACACAGCACCACTTGGGAGAAACTAGTTTTTTTGATATCTTACCACATGGTGATTTTTACTTCACCATGAGATGCATATTTTCTCAGGATGATCCTCTGTTGGAGAAGAAAAGAAGAGACTTAATTGAATCTGCTGCTCGTGCCTTGGATAAAGCAAGAATGGTCAGGTTTGAACCTCGAACTGGAGACCTAAATATTACAGGTAGTGTGGAAATTACGTGATACACTATAGTTACTTGTACATTGTAATAAGAAAAATTCTAAGTCTATGAAAACCAAATAAATTACCGTCGTTGTAAGAGGCAGTAATTTAATATTTAGTTTGTTCAATGCAAAAGTGTATTGTTTTACTTTTTGATGTATTACTATGTACTGTATATCATTTGTTTTTGTAATTCACACATTGTACACACACACATGCGCAAAAGAAAGTGCTGGCCTTGTACTGTGATTTCTAGTGATCTTCTGTGCATACTCCTTTATTTTAAATTTTCGTCAATCCTACACTTTGAATGAAGTGCAAGCTTCTGCCCATAAGGGTGCCATGATCGTCATCTGGTTCCATTAAATAGTGGTCCAGGAGATGAAATCTTAAGTAAGCTATGGCCTCCCACTCACATAGGAGATGTGTGGCTGTTTCATTTTTTCTAGGCATCTTTTATTAATGGGACTGTCAGTGCCATTCTGAAAAGGTGTCCTTTTAGGTGACAAGTGTCTGTAAGTAGTTAAGTAAGTAAGTCTGTAACTGGTTTCTGTTTAAAATTAGCAGTTCCTTGGTTCTTCTGGCAGAGGACCTTTGTATGAGTGTCCTGTTAAGGGTTCCAAGTGTTTTTATGGTCTCTGTTTGTCCAGTCCTTGACAGCTTTCTTGGTAGCTCCTCCTTAGTTGCAGAAAGCTGATTCAGGCCCTGTATATGGACATTCAGATCCAAATTTTATCAGGTGATTGACTATTTTGATACAAACAGTGCCCTCATGACCTGACACCCATATGAGGTGAACTCTGTTATGTTTGGCCAGTTGCACATGGGATTGATGGCAGTCTCAAACCAGTTTCTATTTGAAATGGTAACTGTCAAGTGCTTTGATTGCGGTTTTACTGTCCAATAGAATGTAATTGTTTCTATTTAGATTATTGATTGCACATGCCTTAATGGCTTACACTTATGCCTGGAATACTGTGGTGTATGGGCCAAGGTCGAAGCTAAGCTTCCGCCTTGTTCCATAACCATACATCCTAGCCTGAGTACCCGTATTGATCTTGAAGCCATCTGGGTACCAGATTAGTCTTCCCTTCCTGTAGGGTTGAAACCAGTCTTTCCATTCACTTCTGTCAGGGAATCTGATTGTGAAAGGTTTGTCATGGACATGTCTTGGTGTCATTCTGTTAGTCCCCATCTGTAGGACGGGTTTTTCTTTCATGCCCCGAGCCATGTATGTGTGTTCAGAACCTTCAGATTCGGGTTTCTATTGATCACTGCAGTAGAGTATATAAATATGTAAATTCCTACATCATGTTCCACATTCTTCATGCTATTTTTACTGTTTTCTTTCTTGCAAAGAACTTAGGTACCCATTTTGTTTGTGTTAAGTTTGTTATATGAGTTTTTCTCTGTCAACACGCTTAATAATTGTCAACTTAGTTTTTCACACAATTTATTAGAATGTATGTAATCTGTCTTTATACAGAATTTCATATCCTAGCTCCAGTGGTCCATTAGTTATTGATCTTAAGCTGGAAGCTGTATGAAAAGTTTTGCAGATCACTTTTTTGTGTTATGTAAAAAATTACCTTGCATGGGGCCATTTTTTAAAATTTCTGTTACTATGTCATATTTCAGGATCCAGTATTTAAGTGATCCTATTGTCCTTATCTGTCATAAGTTAATATGTGCACCATGTTTCTATTGCTAATTGTAGAAAATTAAAATGTATAGGTGCTCTCTGGTGGCATAACATTCATACTTATTTTGTTAAAATTTGTCAGTTGAATTGAATTGAATTGAATTTATTTACATTCTATAAATCCTAAGCAGGTTAGTACCTTTGGATACAGAACAAGTCAAAAGGTTACATACATAAGTACAGGCAATTTTAGCTTAAAAATTAATATAACTTAATTTTACATCATTCTCTATTTACATTGAAGTATTCATCTAAAGAGTAGAAGGAATGAGCATGTAGATAATTCTTTAACTCTGATTTAAACTTTTTAGTATCATTGCCCAAGTTTTTAATACTTTGTGGCAGATTGTTGAACACTTTTATGCCAGTAAAGTAGACTCCTTTTTGATATACTGATAAAGTTGATGAGGGTAGGTGGAAGTTATATTTTTGTCTAGTATTCATGTTATAGACATCAGAATTTAATTTGAATTTATCTTTGTTGTAAACAACAAATAGGAGAAGCGATAATATGTATTGCGATTGAAGCGGTAGAATTTTTAATTTCTTAAATAATTCTCTACATGAATCTCTACTTCTACATCCTGTAATGATTCTTATTATATTCTTTTGTATTTTAAAAATTATTACACTATGTGAAGAGTTCCCCCAAAATATTAATCCATAGTTCATAATAGAATGAAAGTAGGCATGGTAAACCATCTTCAATGTTTCCTGTGACATAAAAGGCTTAATTGATCTCATCGCATAGCAAGCTGCATTTAATTTAGGTATAATTTGTTCAATATGTATTTTCCAAGACAGTGTACTGTCTACATGTATTCCAAGGAATTTTGTATCAAGTACTTTACAGATTAATTTGTTGGCATAACTGATGTCCAGATCAATTTGGTGGTTGTTTTTAGTTGTGAATGATATGTAATGGGTTTTATCAAAATTTAATGAGAGTAAATTGGCTTTGAACCATCTGTTTAAGGCTTCAAATACAATATTTATGTCATTTTTAAAGTTGTCAAATTTAGAGTTGGTTTAGAGGTTCAAACACACAAACACCATGATGATCTCATGAACCTAATTTTCCCTTAAGAAAGTAGTGCAGGCAAAAATCAAATAATTGGAGTGTGTAGCACAGTGTTTGCTTAAAGTAGAAATTCCCTTATGCTTAATTACCATTCCTTGAAGGTGTATGAAGGGAGCCATCATAAGAAATGTAATTTTTACCTCAGGACCAAATGGTGATGAGTGGTTGGGTTTAATACTGTGGCAGAATTTCTGGTGTCAGAGGAATGGCCTCCAGAGCTATTATGGGCATATTACTGATGAGAAAAACTTCAGCACCACTGCTGGAGTAGGACCACAGTCTGCCCTAAACTTGTATTCAGTACCAATTGTCACTGAATAATCCGTCGAGTGTAACAACGTTCTCAGGTCACTTTATTTATTTCACTCGCCTTACATGTTTCGGTTCACAAGGAACCATCATCAGAGGCATGTTACAAACACATGAAACCACTGGCGTTGTATTGTACACAGTATGTAAGCTGCGTGATCTGCTACAGATGTCGGAGTGTAAAAGCACAACACTTTCTCGTAACGTTGAATGCATGTACACCTCTTGTATTCCATCCAAAGAATGCCCTCAAATTGAGCCGTCAATGTTAAAATTTAAAGCTTAAAACATTTAAAGTAAAATTTGGCTTCTTCTTGTTGATTCGTCCCGGTGATGGGAATCGTCAACTTGAGGTTGTGTATGCTTTTGGTCGGATGTGTCTTACGCGTNATTCAGTAGCTGCTTGGTTTTAGTCTAAAATGGAGTCCAGAGATAAGGATTAGCTCTATTGATTAGGCCCAACTAAGTAGATTTTACCTGAAGATTGAGACAAAATCCAGTCTCCAAAACGTTGTGTGTTTAGATGAAGACAGGGTGATGGATAATGTCCAGAAACATAGTATTTGTATTCTATAATATGCTTGCGATCTCACAAGCATACTGTCTTTCCTGATGCATGGAACATAAACTAGAAATTTGTTGAGTTACAGCTTAGAAATACCTGCTTGAATGTTTGTGTTAATGGTGTTTATGGTATTGCTGGTTTTTTCATTTGTCTTGAAATTTCAGATCTTGGTCGAACTGCTAGTCACTTCTATATAAAGTATGCTACAGTTGAGGTTTTCAATGACCACATGGAAGAAATAATGACAGAAGCTGATGTGCTCTATATGATGTCACTGTCCCAAGAATTTGAACAACTGAAGGTTGGAAATTGTATTTATCAGTAATTACCATAAGTACATCAGTTATATATGAGTGCAGTATGAGTCTTTCCAGACAAATTACACCCATAAAATGAAAACGCTGAATGTATGGAGCAGTGGTCAATCCACATTCATACACCCATGCACGAGGGCCTTCATTGATTTGGTATGCATCAGTGTACCATATTAATTCCCCATTTTGTTGGACCGAAACCTGCTTCACTTCTGTAAGGCAATCTGACTGAATGGTTTAGTGTCTTGGTAACATGTAATTGGCCCGTGTCTGGTGTACCTAAAATTAGATAAATGGTTGGTAAACAGATGTGAGTTGATGATTGTGATGGTGGTGGTGATAGCAACAACGATGACAATGGCAATGATAATGGTGATATTTGTGGTAGTGGTGAGAAAAGACAGCCTACTATATTTGCAGAAGGACTAGGATGGTGATAGCAGTTGTAGGAAGTACAAGATGTTAATGTTTATGTGCATGCAGCCATACTCCAACCCTGTATATACTGCTACCATTGCATTGCATGCATTAAAGCCTAGGAACAGAAATTTTCTATGTTATTTCAAAAGAATTCTCCTCCAGTGATGTGCCACCCCCAATAGCCACTATCTGTCAACATCTGTAGCAGTACAGTCCAATTAAGCATCATACAGAGTTTGCAGCCGTAGAGGGAACTTGACAGCAAGATAGAGCAGATGGAACATTTCTCTGTGACTCCTGTGCCCTTCCCCGCTAGCAAGAGTGCAGTCATGTCACTGATTCCCTCACTTCAGTTTCTGTACATGCACACATTTATAAGAATACTGTTACAAGATGTATAAAAAAAAAAAAAAAAGCAAGGCTATCCCTGTACCAGGCCGTGAAGACCCATAGGGTTGTGAGACGTTGAGCGTCCCACATTCCAAATCCAGGCAGTAGAATGAACCTGTTACTCGGAGCGGCTATTTTCATGATATCTGATCTCACTATGTTGACTTTAAAATAACTCAGTTGATACAGCAAGTAGGCCATGGGTTGGGTAACTGAGGAATCAGGGTTCAGTCCCTAGTGGGGTCAAGAGTTTTTACTTCTCCACGTCAACCAGACCAGCTCTTGGCTCTCCCCAGGAGTAAAACACTAAGGGTATGAAACTGACCACTCACTTCCATCTATTACCAAGCTTAAGGAAGATGGAGCTATACCTTCATTCCCCCATTCATCTTCATGGCATGGTACATAATTAATTAAGCCCAGGAATAACTACCTACCTTTAAATTACCTGAATAGAGTTAAGAATTCACTTTACTATAGAATAATTTTTAATAATGCATTTTAATATATTATTTTTATACTGTTATATTTCGCATAAATTCATTTTTAGTTCTCAAATGAATTAGCACTTTCTTCATTTTATATCAAATTTTCGTTTTCTCTTCAGAAACATAAAGTGGAGGCTTTTCTATGTTGATTTTTGTCTTTAACCCACTGTTGCAATTTTATGTAATTGAGTACAGTGGATGATATGATATAGCAATGTTTTTCTTCTCCATGTAATAATCTTTCCTTTAGGTACGGGATGATGAACTTGAAGAACTAGATGACCTGACCAGCAAGTACTGTGAATTTGTGGTTAAAGGAGGCAGTGAAAACTTGCATGGAAAAGTGAACATATTATTACAGACATTTCTGTCCCGTGGTCGAGTGAATTCTTTTTCCCTCATGTCAGATCAGGCCTATATTACACAGGTATGTCCTAGTAGTTTCTTAAAATTTTTAGTTGAAGACACATTTTTAGTTTCTGTTTGGGGGTTAGATATAGAGTATGCTGTACTTTGTCATGAAAGTAATCATACAAGCAGTGACATACAAATTTTCAATTTCATTGGATATGCTTTTGAAGCATCATATGTCTGATATTTATAAACCAGGCTCAACAAATGTTGGCATAATTCACCAGTAAGTAAAATATTCTGCATGATAAGTATTTCTTTAGAAGAGAACCCGTGTCAGTGTTGCATTAACAGTGGGCCTCACCTTTACCAGCTACAAACTTGCTGTGGAGAAATAAGATCAGGCAGAATATTAACCAATGAATTGAAAAATTTTCGCAGTTAGCTGCATTTTTAATACTTGATACAAATGAGCAAACTGTATGGTGTGACATGAAGGCTAGAAACAAGAACTGTGCAGTAATAAGAGGTGGCCATTGCTAGGCAGTTCTGATGAAACTCGATATGAAAAATCTTTGCATTACAAAGTCTACCTTATATATGGCCAGAAGTGCACTTTTCTTATATTACTGTGTTGAAATGTGGATTTTGCCCATTATTTTCTATTTAATCTTATGTCTACTGAAATGTTTATAAACTGGCCACAGGTAAGCTTAATAAACTGCAAAGAATGCTCTGGAGAATCTTCTTTACTACATTACAAAACTGGTGAAAAAGTAATTACAGTGATATCCCATTTAAAGTTTTTTTGAGGAGCAGTGGATTTTAACACCTAACTGAAGAAAATTTTAACTTGAAGAAATTCAGTGTTGAAATTTTTAGTGTGGGATCATTGGAAGTGAATGTTAAGCGGGAGCAACACTTACCTGAAATTGTGGTTCCATTATATTCTGATTCATATCAGTTTTGCCAAATGTTGTGTACCAGTACACTTAACAGACAAAATTAAAATATGTTATAGAGAAAAGTGGTGAAAATGGTGGACTGCGTTGAAGTTTTGTAGGCTGGGATCCTGTGGCACTATTTATGATTGGTAATGAATATTCATATTTCATAAGAAGTGGAATTTCTTTATTGGTTGAGTAACTGACTTCTTGAAAAGACTCTGTATCATGTATTTAATCGTTTTATTAGTTATGCAGGTAATTATTTTCATAAAACATCACATAAGATTAGATACTTGGAGAAGCAGCACCTCTGAGATTGCAAGGCAGTGTTGTAGGCTGGGATCCTGTGGCACTATTTATGATTGGTAATGAACATTCATATTTCATAAGAAGTGGAATTTCTTTATTGGTTGAGTAACTGACTTCTTGAAAAGACTCTTTATCATGTATATTGTTTTATTAGTTATGCAGGTAATTATTTTCGTAACACATCGCATAAGATTAGATAGTTGGAGAAGAAGCACCTCTGAGATTGCAAGGCAGTCTGAGCACAGTGTTAACTCGTATAGTATGGTGTAATATTAATGTTGCAGAATGCAGTTAGAATAGCAAGAGCACTCTTTGACATAGTGCTGCGGAAGAACAATCCAATCATGGCTGGAAGGATCTTGACATTTAGCAAGATGTTCGAGCAGCAACAGTGGGATTTTGAAACACCCATGCGACAGTTCCGTATTCTTGGACCAGAGATCATTCAGAAAATAGAAGAAAAGAAGCTTAGTGTTGACAAGCTAAGAGAGATGGATGTGAAAGAGATCGGTGAGTAGGCAGAAGTGGGTAATTATAATGGATGCCAGTAGGTGCCCAACTCATGCCTATCAGTGGACAAAATTTCCAAAAGAGACCAGTATCAAGGGTAATTATCAGAAATCAGTCCATTCAGGAGTGATTACTGGAGAACAAGACCAAATAGAAATACACAGGGCTGTTACTGAAGATAAAATTCAGTAGAAACTCACCAAAGGATAATTGCCATAGTTGAATATTGTCATCTCACTAGGTACTACCTGAATGTGGTGAGGAGGATTGTTTGCTTTCATCATCTGGAGAACTATGCTAGCAGGGACATGAGCAGGTATACAGACTGAAGGTTTAGGGGCCAGGTGAAAGGTAGTCCCTGGTTCTCCGAGTTGAGACTTGTTTGTTAGGCTGACAGTCTCACTTTGGAAAGCATGTATGTTAAGAGAGAAACAGATGCCAGATGGATAATTTAGGGAAATGACTTTGGAAAAACAATAGGTTGCATCTGTGGAGAATGATTATAGAACCTACATGTGAAGAGCTCAAGGCAATAGCCAAGTAGTAGAAATGGATGGGTGTGTCTGAAAGGCAGACGACTATTGAGCCAAAGAATTTTTATTGTGACATGCAAAAATTGGTGGACCTCATATTTAAGTGTAATGTTGAGTTTGCCTTTCTGTGTGAAATCCCGCTTTTGAAAGTCGCTAGTACAAGTGTATGCATAGTCGTAAATAATAAATATTGTCCCATGTTGGGTATGTCACACGACACATAACTTCACGCACATTTATTCTTGCACACTCAAATACAAATAGTATCACTTCAACTGCGTTCTATGGCGGCTATCCCAAGAGTGTCTCGGCAAATGCATTACCTTCTTATATATCCGCGGCCGTTGCTACACAGGTGAACCTTCTGTTGTAACCGTGGAGACTTGCTGTTAGAATTACAATACTGCTATTTTTACTTCCTATGCAACGGTCTGTTCTGATGTTTCCATGGAAGTAGCCCTTCTGGATTCCAAACACGTGACAGTATTTAAATATTGTAAAATTTAGTGTAAATACCTTTCTTCATTATTATCTGCTTTATGTAAATATAGTCTTCACCACTGTGCCATCCAGTTGATTCTCGACACTCCTCAAAGCACCTCAAAGTACAGATTGATGTCACACCTCTTATGCCTCGTAATAATACTTCTTCTTTTCCGTCAAACCAGACAGATGTGACAGTTCATTCTTTTGGCTGAGGAGGTTGGTGACTGTTGTCATTTGGCCTCCTCCAGGCAAGATGCTGTAGTAGACAGAGCAAGGGGTCTATGTACAGGGCATTGTGGGCAAGGAGGACCCCTCACAGCATGTTTCAGACAAGGGCAAATCTAACTGTGTGAGAAATTTGCAGTATAGGATGACAGCAGGATGAAACTGTTTAGAATAATCAGGTCAAATAAATGGGAAAAGCAGGTTCCACCCCCCATTTTCAGGTTCAGTGGCTAATGAAATAACTCCTTGCCATCTTGTTCAGTTGTCCACATAGCCAATATGTTTATATAGGCTTCTAGTACTGCTAGTTTTATGGCATTTCCATGCTCATCAGAAAAATTTCTTCTGCTGGAGGGTTGTACATATTTGTCAACATACATTATGCCTTGTTTGTCCTTCCAAACTGATGTTGTGTCGCCTCTCACCCTAGGCTGAATGTTTCCCCTACTTATTCCAAGTCTCATGTGTGGGCAGATGCTACTTTTCTTTGGAAGTTGAGCATCATCATTTCTTATGACAGCTGGTGTTTATGTCAGAGTCATGCATTCCACACAGGAATGATTTTATAATGCAGAACCACTTTGTGAAGAAGTTAGCCTCCTATTAATAGAGTTAGCATCAGAATAAAAGAGTGTAACAGTATTGTCTGGTCATTTTCAAATTTGTCATTATACTGTGTGGTATGTGTTATTTTCTTAAAACAAAATGCATTGTGTTTGTTTACCAAAAATGTTATTAGTTACAGATTTTTTTAATAACATGCTCTAAATTATTTAAACTCTCAGCAGCCAAGGGTATTTAAATTCCAGCTAGCAGCATTCTGTGACCACTTATATACCTCAGTGCTTATGGGATAAATGCGTACACGTTACGCACTGTAATTTAAAACATATTTTTTTTGTGGAGTGACATTTCTTCATCTTCTTTACTTTCATGTGATTTTTCTCTTTCCTCCTCACCAGGTTCATGCATGAGATAAACAGTTTCCTTTCTTGCCTTGCCTTCCACAGTTTCAAGTTGTCACTGGTGCTCATGTTCTGTCTCAATTTTCTACATCAGCTGTGACTTCGTAGATTGATATTTTCTATAAATATTCCAGCAGAATGAGGAATTTATTTGTTAAAACTCAATGTAAAATATGATGTATCTTTTCTTTTGAATTTTAATCATTTACCATAGAAAGTGAAGTAAATCATATGTTGCTTGCTAGGAGTAATCCTTCGCCATGCCAGAATGGGCCAGACCGTGAAACACTGTGCACAGGAGTTTCCCTTGTTGGACATGGATGCTGTACTGCAACCAATCACACGCACTATTGTCAGGATAAGGCTTAATATTATTGCAAATTTCAGGTAGGTTAACACATTCTTAATAGCTGTAGATTATACACTGAGGCCATAGCTCCAGTGTGGAAACTTGTGTTCAGGATGGCTATTATTCTGATAATGCTCCATATTAATCTGTGACCACCACTGAGTTGTTGCTGCAGTCTGAACCTTAGATGAGGCTTAGGCAGCATCTACACGAACACACAAAATGCGTCCGTCATAACGAGCATACTTTGCTGAGGATGTTGCTGAGGACACCACACAGTTGTGGAATGCGGTGCATAGTTTTTTGTCTGCAGTGGAGCCAGGAGAAAGCATAGCATTCGCCCCTCTTGTTTATTTATACAACGGACGTCACGACGTTTGTTACAACGGACGCATTTTGTGCGCTCGTGTAGACATTGCCTTAATCTGTGACAGCAACATTGACATGGATTCTTTGTAATGGAATTACGTTTAATTTAAGAATCTGTAATAAACTTGACATTTTTTAGATATTTATTTATTTATCATTTAATAAATGTCATTCCATTTCTTAGGTGGAATGACAAGGTCCATGGGAAAACATCTGAGGCTTTCTACATTTGGATTGAGGACCCTGAAAATAACTACATGTATCATTCAGAATTATTTCTGGTTACAAAGAAACAGGTAGGTATGCTCATTTTGTGCATCTTGTGTGGTTCTAGCAAAAGGATGTTACAGATTATGTATTAAATTTGGATTGAAAGGTGACTGTGGAGAACTAGAAAATTTTGTCTATACTATTTTTTCCCAGTGAAGAATTGTGCATCTAGTGTGACTAGGATGTTAGTTTTGTGTTAATGATTTTTTTTTATAAAATGTTACCAATTTGAATGACTTTCTGTCTATTTGATTTGTTTAATTTTACTAGTATGTCATAAATTTTAACTTTATCTTTGGGTGCAGTTCAGTATGCATCTCAAAGTATGTGGAGTTGCTTCTAAGGAAGTGGATTTTTCCTTTTGTGTTGCCATGCTGCCTTATCATTATGCACAATGTAAAACAAACTTCATATAAAACAACATCATTGTTGTATACCCAGCTAACAGTTTAAACAAACATTATGGCTAGCTTGAAATGATCTAACATTGAGAGCTAAACTAATACTTGCAAGATGATGACCAATTCCTATAGAGTATCCAGCAGCTGAAAGGAAAATATGACCATTCACAAATAGAAGGAGCAGAACCCAGGGAGTGCATACGAAATGATATTATGTGGGGAATAAAATCACTGAAATGGTAAGAAGTTAGTGAAATTGGAAAAAAATTACATAAAATTTCGGAAAACATGTATTGCAGGAATATACATGCAAATAGCTCAAGCGGTTAGTCACTGGCTTCCCACCCCAGTGGCCCAGGTTCGATCCCGGTTGTGGTCAAGTGGGATTTGTGGTGGACAGAGTGGTGCTGGGGCAGATTTCCTCTGAGAACTTTGGTTTCCTCTGCCAGTCTTCATTCCACCAAATTCTCCATCATAATCACCCAGGGCAGGCTACAGTAGGCCAATCAGTGGTCGCCGTGCTGAGCAGACCCAGTTGGACTCCACCCCCCACTAAGCGAATTAAAAAAAATTTAACATAAATGCAAGGTTTTACTGTTACTGATTATGCTGAAAATTAAGTGGGTATATGTCATGGTTATATGTGACAGTGGTGTATATATGTTTTCTTACCTTGTGTTGGATTTTAGAGTGCATGTTCCACTTGATATATGTTGTTTTGCATGTTTCTGTTTTTATTTTCTCTTGTAGGTTGATCTGAAATATGAATTGTTTGTTGTTATATATTATGTGTGTACTCTGTGGTCTAGTTGTTAAGAGTTCCTGCCTACAGATCCAGAGGTCTGGGTTCGATTCCTGGCGCTACCAGATTTTCTGAGAAATAGTGTGTCTGGAAGGGGGCCCACTCAGCCTTGTGAGTATAATTGAGGAGCTATTTCAAGGAAAGTAGCAGCTCTGGTCTAGAAAACCGAAATTAATGGCCATGGGGAATTGTTGCGCTGACCACGTGACACCCTCTATCTGCTTGAGTTGGCACTAACTTCAACACGCGGCAGTCGCTCAGTAGGTATAGTTCGTTTGCCAACTCAAACCACAGAGTTTTTGTTGTTATTTGGTTGTTTTTCCTTACCTTGTTGTAGAAGGTGTTATGTCTGGGAGAGTAGCTATGTAGAACATTGTGAATGTCTGGGTTTGCATGTTTTCAATGTGGAGGTGTATGGTCCTGCTATTTGTTGTGTGGTATGTAATGAGAATTCCTAATATAAATGTCAGTTTGACAGGAGGATGTGTAAGAAAGACACGCATGTCTCCTCCTAGATCTGTGAAGATTTTATTTGATTGCTCTGAGTGCATTACTGTGAACACTCCACATAGTGTTCTTATAGCTGATGCCTCCAGTTTTGATACTTCAGTCTTCTTGATGTTTTCCTGCTTTGGAAGTAATCAAAGAATCCATATCTGAGGTGGACTTCACTACTCTGTATGGTAGGATAGTGTTTGGAAAACCTTTTGATTTGGCTGGTCTCAAGCCTGATTTTCATCGCACCCAAGTTCAGCATCATGATCTCCAAGTCAGCATCCATGTAAAACTATATTTGTTCTAAACTTTCTGAAATATATTCTCACGTGTATGAGTGACAGTAGACAGGGTTTGGATTGGTAATTGGATTTATTAAACACTTACAGATTGTAACTACCAGTACTTCACTATCACTAATTCACACATTACAATTCACTGCAGCATGCACCAAGTCTTAACGTCTAACTAACGGTTCCCGGTACCCATTGAGTAGGAGGCTGGGTGGCCCCCAGAGCCTGTCTGGACGACGTGAGAAGAGAAAATTTATGACCCTACAGGTCTGCCATGTATTTGCTTATTCCACATTCTTTGCCTAGAAATGTGTTTGTGTGCCAAAATATATAGCATTTAATGCTTTTCATTGCTTTCAGGTTTTGTCAAAAGAACCTCAAGAACTAGTAATGACCATTCCACTGACTGAGCCGCTGCCTTCTTTGTACTGCATTAGAGCTACCAGTGATCGGTGGTTGGGATCCATGACGAGTATTCCCCTAACCTTCCAACATCTCATTTTGCCTGAAAGCCATCCACCGCACACTGGTGTGTAACAACAGTAAAAGAATTAATGAGTTTATGAACTACATAGAATAAAAGAAGGTATTTGTTATAACCAAGAAATTGTACCCAATCAATATCTAAATTTTCTTTTAAAGTAACTAAAACTATAAATTTGTTTTAGGTTAGATCTAAAAGTTTGTGATGATGGTGCATTAGTACAAATATTGTGTTTTTGGACATTATCCACCCTGTTGTCTTAATCTAAAAACCTTCCTGTTTATTTTTAAAAACACAGTGTTTTGGAGACTGGATTCTGTCTCCATCTTCAGGTAAAACATACTCAGTTGGGCCCAATTGATAGATCTAGTCCCTGTCTCCGGACCCCTGTGCCAGCTTCAAGATGGGGTACATAAATCAAACACAGCACAAATCGTCTGCGAGAGCTAATAAAACATTAAATTATTAAAACTCCACATGTATGAGGCCTTGCATGACAAATTTTTCCCACACAAACTACACTTGATGGAGTTGTAGTTCCTTGACTTCTGCTGTACTAACAGGAGTCCAGATGGGAGAGATGTCCAAACTGGGTTGACTGATCGGATGGTTCAGCAGAGACATGTATTTCCTGTATGTAGTGTTGGGCTCAATCTGCAAGACCTTCGCTTCATTCCAGCATATTGTGTGGCCCATCATGCATACAAGGAAGGCCACAAAATATGGTGGAACGAAGCGAAGAATACATTACTCATATAACCACTCTTTTTCTTTTCTTCATTGTAGATTTACTGGAACTACAGCCATTGCATGTGAAAGCTCTTGAAGACCCTAGCCTGGAGGCTCTGTACCCATTTGAACACTTCAATCCTATCCAGACACAGATATTCCATTGCCTGTATCATACAGACAACAATGTGCTGCTAGGTGCACCCACTGGGTCTGGTAAAACAATTGCTGCTGAAATTGCCATGTTTCGGGTATTCAGGGTATATCCAGGCAGTAAGGTCAGTAGAAACCATTGTAGCATAATCAGAATATCAGCCTTTTGGTAGATTGCACAGTGTTATGTCACAAAAGATAGAACCCTTCTTAACAAAATTTGGTTAGAAAAGCTGAAAGGGAAAGACAAGTTGAGAGATATGGGCGTATATAGGAAGATAACATTAAAATGGGTCACAAAGAAGTATAGTGAATGCATGGAATGGATTTAGAGGACTTAGGATACTGTCTTAGCAGCCAGGCTCTTGTAAAGGTGGTAATGACCATTTATGTTACATACACATACCACCTGAGTTACTATCAGCTTCTAAAGGACTCTTCTGTAAGTATGTGCAGGGCTTGAATTTTGTTACTCAATTTGAGAAAAAATGTTGATTTGAACATTGAATTTTGACACACACACGCATGCACGTGCACACACACAGATATAGGAATTACGTTAACCGTCACACAACAAATGTACTCGCTTTTAATGTTTCACAACTAGACTTTTTATTCCTGCTCCATGTTTTGGTCATACAAGCCCATCATCAGTCAGTTAATATAGGAATACGTTTAATCATTTAACTACCGATATGGATCCATACCAGTGCAGTGTGTCATATAATAACAGAAAATTTGCCTCGAGTTGGCAAGTAATATAATTAAGTATAAAGAATAGAAGATAAGAAATAAAATAAACGGTAAACCTGATAGGAAATGAATAAAATATATACCATGTATAAGGTGATTTAATTATTTATATATTACAGAAATATTAAATATATTAAAATACTTAAAAATATTTGTCAGTAAATAATGAAACTATTAAGTGTGAAAGGATAAGAATATGTATGCCAAGTTAATTCAGTAAGGTTCTGATGCTACTGTGTTCTATTGGGCACGTTATGTCATTTGTGGATCTTTTGTTGTTAGAAGGTTCCTGCGTAGTGAAGCCAGGTTGTGGAACCCAGAGACAAGTTTTGATGATATGTAGATTATTAATGTGTTATGTGTGGAGTGGGTCTATTTTTGATATGAATTCAGTCATTATGTGATCACAAGATATGTCATATGCATTTTTGCCTGGGCATATGTATGTTCCTGTTTTGCTGTGTGATGGTTAACCTAATTCATATATATACAGTAGAACTTGGTTATAACGTCATCAAAGGGACCTAAAAATAGTGTCGTTATAAACGAATGTCGTTGTAACCGAAATTGGCACTTCCACAGTAGCCTTATGTTAGTCACGTAAAAATCTACCAAAAACCAAGTTAAAATGTTGCATTTTTTAGTGAAATACGTAGTTAAGTACAGACTAACGTAACATTAAAGTGGAATTGCCCAAATGTGTAATATCAAAGACATATTACAGCGCTTTTCACTGACAATACACACCGTATTTCACGAATCACTTTAACGTTCTCTTCAATGCTTAAAACTTTCCTTTTCATTGCCATGTTTTCGCTACTGCACTTCTCTGGGGTTAGGCAGGAACACTATAGGGTAAGTTCTGTTAGGACTGAGGTCCTGTTAGACGAGATTCTAGGAAAGGAATGCAGTTAACAACCTGCCGCGTCCTCTTGCACTATTCACGCAGTCCCACCCCACACCCTTGTTTTCGCATAAAACCCACGCTCCTCTTGCAGCCCGCGGTCGTATTCTTCCAGGACAGTCACGTCAGCAAGTAGAGAAAGTGAGGGTGGGCAGACACATCGAACTTTCCCACGATATCAGAGAAATTCAGGAATGAAAATGACGTTACATACGAGGTTGATGCATTTGTGCATGTCGTACTAAGCAAGGTATAAAAACAGTTGCTTTATGAGGAATTAGTTCGTACCATTGAATATTTGACGCAATAGACAAGGTGTCGCAGAAACCGATGTTGCTATAACCAAGTTTTACTGTATATATATATATATGTGTGTGTGTGTGTGTGTGCGTGTGTGTGCGTGCGTGTGTCTGACTGAAACACACAACAGGATGCACCCAGTGAAGATTGATTTTTCATTTTCGATCGGAAGGAATTTTCATCAAGCAAGTTGGCATCAGTGGTAACACTTTTGACTTGTAGTCAGGAGGTACCCACTTTGAATCTTGGCTAGGACACCAGCTGTCATGACTGAAGCATTTTGTGATTTTCTTGAGTTCTTCCTGGCAGATTTACCTTAAATTAGGCAGTAACTGCTCTCTTCTGTATCCTTTCCAATTCACTGTCGTTCACTGCTATGTAGCTTGAGTTATTGATAGCAGTGTTTAATAAACTACAAATACAAGTATGTACAGATCAATAATTTTCAGATAACTTCTTTCATGCACAAATCACCCAGTCTATCAGAATCATAATGGTTGGCAGCACTGGCACAAATCAACTTGTTAACAGAATCTCTGTGTGTCCGTCTCTGTTTCTGCTTGTAGTGCAAAAGGACATGGCCCTAAAATTGATTGGTTAATACACTATTTATGAAATTTCTGAATTGGAAAAAAAAATCTTGTATCAAATTTTGTAAGTAGTTGACTCAGTGTGTTGTGAAAAGTGGGTAGGGTTGTGAATTGTGAGCGTAATGCTGAAGTTTGTCTGCTAGAGAAAATTCACATTTCAGTCTAAATTCTCAAAATTTCTCCCAGCTCTTGTCATGATCTCATCTTAAACTGATAAAGTCATTCTCACATACCTTTTCCATAACTCTAAGTAGTTGTTTGTGTCAGTTATGTGTGAAAACTAAAATTCCATCAGTTGTAACAAATTTCAATGAATGTAATCTGTTCTACATGTTACAGGCATGAGTGGCCATCTTCAAGAGTCAAACCAATAAAGATATGTTAATTATGATTATGTGTACTCTCTGTAGGTTGTGTACATAGCACCTCTGAAAGCTCTTGTTCGAGAACGTATTGAAGACTGGAAAATAAGACTGGAACAGAAATTAAACCGGAAGGTTGTTGAATTGACGGGTGATGTATCACCAGACATTCGTGCCATATCTCAAGCTGATGTAATTGTAACAACACCCGAGAAGTGGGATGGCATAAGTCGAAGCTGGCAGACACGTAATTACGTGCGTGACGTAGCACTTATTGTGATTGATGAAATCCATCTCCTGGGAGAAGATCGTGGTCCTGTACTGGAAGTGATAGTATCCAGGACCAACTTCATTGCATCACACACTTCTCGGACCCTCCGCATTGTGGGCCTTTCAACAGCATTAGCCAATGCAAAAGATCTGGCAAATTGGCTTGGCATTGGACAGGTAGGTGTTGAATACTGACACTGTTTTTTAGTGACTCATTGTGTGTGTATTTGTTCTTTCATCGTATCTGTGTGGTGACTGTGATTATCCATAAAGCGTATGAAGCGATCTAAGTACATTACCATTTAATTTTCCAGCAACTATGTACAATAATAAATGACTGCATAATGTCCTATTTTCTTCAGAAGTGAATGTAGTCTTATAGGTTCTTGCCCCCATAAATGTCATCATGTAAGGTCCTCTGGATCTTCTTCCTTAGAGTACTGTATAACTCATTTGCTCCTGTATATAAGCTTGGTTGCTTATAGGTGCTGTGTCCAAACTGTCATACAGGAGTTTAATTATTTAAGACAGTGCCTTGATAAAGTCAATTTTTCTTCTTGAAAATACTTCATTTTGCCACTGGATGGTGGATGTAGCTACCACTTGCAATTTCTTAAGACATTTATAGATAATTTTGTATTCATGTTCTTGCCATGAAGTAGTATAAACCACTAATGTACTGCTAAAGGCAGTTGGCTGGGAGGTGAGCAAGTGGCAGAGGTGCAGGAGTGAAAGCCAGGTACTGTGAGAACTGGGATTTGATTCCCATTGGCAATAAGATATTTTTCTTCACTACTGCATCTAGGTTGGCTCTGGTGCTATTGCAACCATCTATACAGTTGCTTCTGGCATATCTTTCCCTGTCTGTAAAGTAACGAGACATGACACTTCTATTGAGTGCTGAAGATTAAGAAAGACTAGAGCTGTACCTCCATAAGAAGGCCAAGGCTCATAGTGGGCCCTAATGCTCTAGGTCTTACCTGCATGTTGGCCTAGCCAGTAATCAGCATATGCAAGATTGAAGTATAGTAATAAAGAAACAATGTACCTTAAGCTGATGTGAAAAAGAAATTATATAATAGTATGGATACTGATTCAAGCTGCTGCTGCTTATATCCAAGGATAATAAATTGTTCCATTGCTTTGCAGATGGGTCTGTACAACTTCCGTCCATCAGTACGTCCTGTGCCACTTGAGGTCCACATCTCAGGATTTCCTGGCAAACACTATTGTCCCCGTATGGCCACCATGAACCGTCCAACATTCCAGGCGATTCGACTACACTCACCAGCAAAGCCAGCTCTTGTGTTTGTTTCATCTCGGAGGCAGACTCGGCTGACAGCGCTTGATCTTATTGCTTACCTCGCAGCAGAGGATGATCCCAAGCAGTGGCTCCATATGAGTGAACAGGAGATGGAGCAGGTAGTTGCTGGTGTGAGGGATACCAATTTGAAACTTACATTGGCATTTGGAATTGGTATGCACCATGCTGGTCTTCAGGAGAGGGATCGCAAGACAGTAGAAGAACTGTTTGTCCATCAGAAGATACAGGTTTGTACACAGTTCATAGTACATTCACCACTGTTTTAGTCCCATGTAGGCTCACGTAGCATAGTTGGTTGAGGCAAAATGCTACAAGCTGCACTGCAGCCACTTCTGGCCTAGCGTACCAGCCCCAGATGATAGATGAGGGTGATTGTGGAGCAACTGGTGGAATGAAGATTGGCAGGGGAAACTGAAGTACTCGGAGAAAACCTGCCCCAGCGCTACTTCGTCCACCACAAATCCCACTTGACCAGACCCGGGATTGAACCTTAGCCGCCATGGTGGGAAGCCAGCAACTAACTGCTTGAGCTATGGCATGGCCATCTTATTTCATTAAGTACTCTCAAAGAAATGAAATTGCCAATTTGTCACATTGAGTAAAAAGATGTGATTCCTCCCCTGGAATGATAGACGATGAGTGTCAGTGACAGGCAAATGTGAAATGTAAGAGGTGATTGAAAATCCAGTTTTAAGTTGACTGCAGAGTGTCAGTCCTCTTTTTCTGATAAAATCTTCAGCATATGCCACAGCAGCAAAGAGCAGTTGGACGCTACAGATTGCAAGTGATTCCATAGTACATGTCATTTAATCTCTTCCTCTTTCATCATCTGTGTCTTACTGCCTGCTTACAGACATTGACAGCTGCTCCTTCCTGTATGTTATCAGTTGAACAGCACAAATTTTTGTATGCGTCACTTACCGGTCTCTTCAAACTGATAATACTTGTTGGGGGAACAGGCAATATGCAGAACCACAGACTAAATGATTGATTACTTATATTCATATCTGTTTAACCTAAAATATAGAGAGAAAAAGTATGGTATTTAATTTTCTTTGAAATTTCTTGTCTAAAAATGGAGGTGTATGAATTAGACTAATAAAAATAGTAACCTAGCAAAAATCATTGAAGGTATTATGTAAGGCTATATAGATGGCAGGTGGATGAATCCTTATCGTGATCATGTCCAGTGGTGTGCTTTGGCAGTATTGGTATTAAATCTTTGGGTTCTGTTATAAAGATTTAAATAATTAGGTGGAAGGAAAATATTAAGATATGTCTTAGAAAAATATTGTGACATGTTGCGCTATGGATGACGCCCCTCCCTCCCCGCCAGCCGTGACGTGCCGAGCGGAGCCGAAGTGAGCTGAGTCCCAGCACACTGGTCGCTACACAACGCGAGTAAACAGCGGTTGCTAGGCAAAGCGGGTAAACAGCGGTTGCGAGAGATGACGGTAATAACAGCGGTACACAGCGTTGCTAGCACCACAGCGGCAGACAACAGTGGTGCCTATGACGTGGCTGTTTTCTGTGTTGTCCGGAACGGGGCTAAATAAGGAGCAGCGAAGACTATTCACAGTTACAGTTCTCGAGTTCTCAAGTTCTCAGGTTACGAGTTACGAGTTAGCCAGCAGTGATTCAGTCACCAGTTAATTGCAGTCCAGTATTTGTGCTACTGCCAATGGCAGTAAAGTTGAGCTTGTAAATCGTGTGATTGTAAGAGCGAATGTGGAATAAAATTCGCTATATCCAGCACGGCGTGAAGTTATTTGTCGCGTTATACACCCAACATGCGACAATATATTATGAAAATAGAAGGTGGTTGGAACTGGCTGAGGATCATGCCCAGTGGTAGGCTTTGGTCTAAGTTTTTGTATAAGGTAGTTAATTCAGTGTGTGAAGACCCAAAGAAGGGTTGAGTTCCTCATTAACATAGTTGTGCCATCAGCATTCACTGTGTAACTGCATAACTACTGTGTATTAAAAATGCATAACAGATTTGAGAATTGTAATAATTACTATTACAGGTCCTCATTGCAACTGCAACCTTGGCATGGGGTGTAAACTTCCCAGCTCACCTAGTTGTGATAAAGGGAACTGAATATTATGATGGTAAAACACACCATTATGTGGATATGCCCATCACAGATGTTTTGCAAATGATGGGACGTGCGGGTCGACCACAGTTTGATGACAGCGGTATTGCAGTTGTTCTGGTTCATGATGTCAAGAAAAATTTTTACAAGAAATTCTTGTATGAGCCTTTCCCTGTGGAATCAAGCCTTCTTGAAGTCTTGCCAGATCATCTGAATGCTGAAATTGTAGCAGGGACAGTGCAGACAAAACAAGATGCTCTTGACTACCTCACATGGACCTACTTCTTCAGGAGATTGCTTCAAAATCCTACATACTACAAACTAGAAACACTGGAATCAGAAGATGTGAATGATTTCCTTTCAAACTTAGTGCAGCAATCACTCAATACTTTAGGAGAAGCATATTGTATATCAGTGGATGAGGTAAGTGACAACCAATTAACTATTTTACTACAAACACCACAAGTCTGAGATTGCATGATCTATTGCTGCTAACCCTTTCACTTCACAGTAGTGGTTCCAGAAAGAATAAAAAGCACTGAACAGCAGAATAAAGGTTAAGAAATACAGTACTCCAATTTGCACTACATGTTTTCCAGATGTTCTTGTGATTTCATATGCTTTATTCATCTTGATCGTTTATTCTTGATACATGCATGCATGTATGTGGGTTCTTTTATGTCTCTGAGTAACAAGACTTTATAGTCATTGATCTTGATACTGGTTTGCTGTTGTCAGAGCTAATCATCAGAAGAGAGATTAAAGTACATGGATTCATAAATCTTGTTGCTGCCAAAGCTAATCAGCAGTTAAGATATACTGTAAAGAAGCATAAACCATTCTATACACATTCTGAATATACACCATGTCAAAAAATCAGTGCAAAGACATCACACATAATTCCTTGTATACAGTTCACCTTCACTAACTTACCTTTGAAATAGAATCAGTTGTTGCTCAATAGACCATTATCAGTTACTGTGTACTGAACTTTGTCCAACAATACTGACATTTCAGATTTGGCTTCCAGAACATGACACTTTCCTGAAGGTGCGATCTGTGCACTTTTATTTAGGAAGGCTGCCTCCATAAATTACTGAAGTTCAACCTCTGTGTGCACATGCATCTCCTCCTCCTCCTCCTTAGAGGCCCTCATCTTTGAAGCAAGAATATTTGCTTTTACTGCAAACTGATCTATGATGGTTAACTTTTAGTACTGAATGTGAATAATATCTGTCCAACCACTGAGGCACTAGCAAGGGACATGTCCATGAATATGTATGTACACACAGACAGCTTACGAAAACCCACCTCTTCATAATCACTGGGGCTCAGAACATATAAATCTCTCGAGATCCCTGTCCCTTCATGATGATACTTTCACATGTAGACCACAAATATTAGAAAGTAAAAATATTTCAAATACAGAACAGACATCAACAGGAGAAATGCATGATAGGTAAGATTAACACAGGAATACTTCACAAAGAGATTAATAAGTAAATTAATTAAAACAAGATTTTAAAAGTATACAGTGTATGCTTAAGAGACGTGTTCAACAGATGAAACGACGGGAAATATTAAGATGACAGTGTACTGTTCCCTTACAAATTAAGTCACATGCATCTGTTCGTACTCAAAAAATTCAAGCCATGGTATGAATGAATGAACAACCAGTTTTAATGCATCAGTTTTCAATATTATTACACACATTAATTGTAAATTAAAAATGTATATTAAATTGTTTAGTGTGTTCTTCAAAGGCATATTATAATAGTAAAAGAATAGAAATAGCTATGATTTTAACATAGTCTTAAACCATGAAAAATGTTATTTAGTTTTTATTGCGTAATTGTGATTATGTCCAGAAGACCATGGTTGATTGTTGAATATGCTAAGAAATGTAATTATAACACCTCTTTGTTTAATTATCTCAAAACTATAAGATTTATGGTGAAATTGTGTTGGAAATAAATTTGTTTCATTTTTCTTTACAATTTTTGTTGCAAATAATGTTCCCTCTGAAAAATATTTATTGTTACACATGTACTAGAAACACACATAGGTCTTCATGTTCATTGGTCATTAAACTTCCAATGTAAATGAAGGTTTAAATTACTTGACAGTTTTTCTTAAAACTCTCCAACTTTAAATTTCATGGAGGTCTATCCAGTAGTGGTTCTTAAATTGCAAGTGAGTGCACCGACATGCAGAACTTATGGACACTCCACAGGCTAGCAAACATGCCTATATAAGGAGATAAGATTCATGCATAATTATAAATTTAAAAAAATTACTGTCCTGTATTTTCAAACAAATAAGTAATGATAAGAGAAGGCTTTCTGCAGGTTTCTGATTACATGATAACTAGAGGACAGGAACAACAAAGAATAAGTTTTTTGTCACATTCAAGAATTTGGTGTGTTATTGGTGTAGTTTTGGCATGGATTGTAAAATTTATAATAGCATTTAAAATTGATGAATATCCCAGAAGTTGGTATAATAGACAAAACATGTGGGGTAGAAATGATCTTTTATTGGTTGAAGATGAATGTTTTATCAGTTGGTTTTTATTGAGTTAAAAATTTACCTCCCTCCTCATGCCAGTGCTTTAACAGCAGAATTTATGTAGGGTAACACGTCCACAAAAAATATTTTTCATGACTTCCATAGTATTTGTCATGGGCAGATATGTCTCTTTTAAGTGTATTTATGTTTCTGTGATGTAATGTAGAAGTTGTTGCAGGCTTTGTAATTAAGCTGTACTCACAGTCAACACATGTAACATTGCAGGACTGCCGAGGAATTCGTCCAACATCCATGGGTAGAATTGCCTCGTTCTATTATCTTTCCCACCAGACAATGCAACATTTTCAAGATAATCTGAAGCCCAACTTGAATTTGGAAGAACTGTTGAGGGTTCTAAGTGATGCCTATGAATATGATCAGTTGCCAGTACGACACAATGAAGATAGTCTAAATGGGTGAGTATAGGCACCATTGTATATTTAGAGTTAACAGAAAGACCTATAAAGGCCATGTTATTGCTAAGAGTATGCTTAATTTTTTTAATTTGCTTAGTGGGGGGTGGAGTCCAACTGGGTCCTCTCGGCATGGCAGTCACTGATTGGCCTATTCTAGCCTGTCCTGGGTGATTATGATGATGGAGAATTTGGTGGAATGAAGATTGGCAGGGGAAACCGAAGTACTCGGAGAAAACCCACCCCAGCACCACTTTGTCAACCACAAATCCCACTTGACCAGACCCGGGATCAAGCATGGGCTGTCGTGGTGGGAAGCCAGCGACTAACCAAGAGTGCTTAAATGGGACTTGTTCATGAGAGAAGTTCAGTAGAAACCTGCTCAAGGGTAAATCAGAGATCTATTCAGACCAGTCACACAACAGAGCTATTGTAAGCATTGAGAAATGCATCTCTGTAAATGTTAGACGCTTGTCTTGTAGAATCTTATAGTCTGCTGCTGAAACCAATAGTGCACAATTGGTTGTCTTTCATTACTCAGCTATACTGGAAAAAAGTGATGTGGATGGCAGGGACAATGGCACGTGATGCTTTCTCATTCCTGCCTACTGATTTATTCTACTCCATTCCCCTCTGACATATGTCAACCAACGCAGAGCACTGGTCATTGGCAAAGATAGGCATGTGGTTATCAACATTTGCATGAAGTGGAGGAGTGTGGAGAAGCAGGTTGAAGGTGGACATATAACAGTTTAAGTGAGACGTGAAGACGGTTGTTACAAAGACAAAATTTTCCCTGTGCTTAAGCTCCATCCCATTAAGACATATGACAGAGCACACAAAGCATCATGCATTCTTAATTTTGGTGCTAGGTGGAAGTGAACAGTCAGCTTCTTTCCTCCCAGGGAAATAGCTCTTCATGCTCATTGGACAGGAGGCTGGGTGGACTCAGTGCCAGACTGGGTGTGAGATAAAGGTAAAGAGGTAAAGTTTTCCTTGTGCTTAACTAATTAAGCACTATGCTATGAAGGTGTATGGGGGGGTGGATGTATAGATTCACATTTTCTTGACCTTGGCACTAGCTGAAGGTGAGTGGCCAGCTTCAAACCCTGGCAACTTTATCCCCCAAGGAAAGAGCCCCTGGTACCCATTGGCTAGGAGGTTTGGTGGATCCAAGAGCCGGTCTGGATGACGAGGAGATGAGACAATTCTTTACCCTGCTGGGACTTGAACTCTGACCCCTTGATCATCCAGCCTGTAGCCTGTTGCTATACTGATTGCGCTGTAGTCTGGGTGTGAGAAAAAGCTAAAAATATTTGCCCTTGCCAGGGACCAAACCCCAATTATCTAACCCAGAGCCAGTCATTTTACTGACTAAGCTAACCCAATTCACTTTGTATAGACTAATAAAAAATATACACAGACATGGATTACTAAATTATACAGATATTAATTTCTAATTCTTGCTGGCCTCCCAATATACATAGATTGAATCATTTGACAAGAAACAGACACCATGAGCTGTTCTCAGAGCTCTTGTAATTTCATAATTGAAATTTTGATATACTCCAAAATATGTAATTAATTGTGAATGTCTCTCATGCTCTGATTCTGTTCCAGTGAACTGGCCAAGAGCTGTCCATTGGCTGTAGATCCATATTCACTAGATTCGCCTCACACCAAGGCCTTTCTGCTGCTTCAGGCTCACTTCTCCAGACTTCAGCTACCATGTGCAGACTATCTCACAGACTTGAAGTCTGTTTTGGACCAGACTATCAGGATATTACAGGTGAGTTCGGTTAATGTGCTTATAGACAGTATCTTCATAATATCTGTGCCTTTAAAGAAGGAACACAGGTCAGGAGCGTTTTAAAAGAAAATGCCGAGGGAAGTATTTCGCTGAAGATAGAGGATCTAGTAGAAGGGTAGAGAAAATTGCATAATGATCTTCAAAATGAGTACTCTTAATGGTGCTGTTAGAGTTGAGTATGAGATGGATGGGAAAATGAGTTCTCTTAATGGTGCTATTAAAGTTGAGTGTGAGATGGATGGGAAAATGAGTACTCTAATGGTGCTATTAAAGTTGAGTGTGAGATGGATGGGAAAATGAGTACTCTAATGGTGCTATTAAAGTTGAGTGTGAGATGGATGGGAAAATGAGTACTCTAATGGTGCTATTAAAGTTGAGTGTGAGATGGATGGGAAAATGAGTACTCTAATGGTGCTATTAAAGTTGAGTGTGAGATGGATGGGAAAATGAGTACTCTAATGGTGCTATTAAAGTTGAGTGTGAGATGGATGGGAAAATGAGTACTCTAATGGTGCTATTAAAGTTGAGTGTGAGATGGATGGGAAAATGAGTACTCTAATGGTGCTATTAAAGTTGAGTGTGAGATGGATGGGAAAATGAGTACTCTAATGGTGCTATTAAAGTTGAGTGTGAGATGGATGGGAAAATGAGTACTCTAATGGTGCTATTAAAGTTGAGTGTGAGATGGATGGGAAAATGAGTACTCTAATGGTGCTATTAAAGTTGAGTGTGAGATGGATGGGAAAATGAGTACTCTAATGGTGCTATTAAAGTTGAGTGTGAGATGGATGGGAAAATGAGTACTCTAATGGTGCTATTAAAGTTGAGTGTGAGATGGATGGGAAAATGAGTACTCTAATGGTGCTATTAAAGTTGAGTGTGAGATGGATGGGAAAATGAGTACTCTAATGGTGCTATTAAAGTTGAGTGTGAGATGGATGGGAAAATGAGTACTCTAATGGTGCTATTAAAGTTGAGTGTGAGATGGATGGGAAAATGAGTACTCTAATGGTGCTATTAAAGTTGAGTGTGAGATGGATGGGAAAATGAGTACTCTAATGGTGCTATTAAAGTTGAGTGTGAGATGGATGGGAAAATGAGTACTCTAATGGTGCTATTAAAGTTGAGTGTGAGATGGATGGGAAAATGAGTACTCTAATGGTGCTATTAAAGTTGAGTGTGAGATGGATGGGAAAATGAGTGCTCTTAATGGTGCTATTAAAGTTGAGTATGAGATGGATGGGACATGTAACAGGGTGGGAAGTAATGATAAATTTATGCCATATTTTGGCCTTGAAACTCCAATTAAGGGACACTTGAAAGACTCAGGAGAAAAGAAAGGAAGATACTATTAAAATGGATTGTAAAGAAATGCCATGGGAGAGTGTAGACTGGATTCATCTGTGTCACTTTGGTTGAGGCTGGATTGTGGATTGATGCTTAAAAAAAGTACAGGGTAAGCACAAAATAGATTTACAACTTTTTGGGTGTGTAAAAATGCAGCATGTTTACAGTGAAGCCCTGTTTAAGGTTTGTTTTCAGAGCAGTGGGTTTGAGCACTAAATTGAGGAAAATCTTAAATAGAAATAGTTTAACGCATGTATTATTGACTTTGGATCATCAAAATTGAATGTTAAATGATGGAAACAGTAAATTGAGAAACATAAATAGGGGTTCCAATGTTCATATAATGAACTACAGTCTGTATTTTCACCACTCATCATCATAAAGCCAAGGTTTAAATGCCATGGAACTTCATTTCACCTCCTCCCATCTATCTTTGTGACATGGTGTGTATGCAGAGGGGCAACTTCTTTAACTGTTCTGTACAGAATCCTGACAATCTGAGTTAGAAATTTCATGTCTGTTCAGAAAAGTGGAATAGTTCACATTGTAACGTGTTTTGTTACTGAAGACGCCGTAGAGATGGTTAATTGGTTTATTTAACAATCTACAAATAACGGCTACAATTAATTATCACAATATTACGGGTTTCCACACTTTACAAACCCGACAACAAAATCTCTTAACACTATCTTCAAGAGTCTTCACGTATTAATGACGCGGGAGCTATACAAGTCTCCCTGAATTACACACTCCAGATATAACTGGTTATCGCACACGCGTCTGTAGCTCGTAACTTGCGAACTGAGAACTCGTTGGTAACGCACTGACTGGCTGACTGACTGTGAATAGCCTTCGCTGCTCCTTATGTAGCCTTGATCGGACAATTGTTGTCTGATGCCGTGGTGCTAGCCACGCTGTCCGGAGTTGTTGACTGCTGCCTAGCAACCGCGATATCCCTCGGTGATGTCACCGCTGTTGATTCGCTTTGCATAGCTTCAAGGTCGCGGGGACTCAGCTAATGTCGGCTCTGCTCGGCTCACTTCGGCTCTGCTTGTGACGTCACCACGCGTTGCATAGCTACCAGGATGCGGGGGTGATTACTCGCCTATTACGTGAGCGCTACGCTACCGCTACGTGCAGCTGGGGAGGTAGGGGTCAACATGTCACAACATATTTGAGAATGACATGAAACAGATCAAAATTACATCCATATGCAATATATGAGCAGAAGAAATTTGGAAAATTTTTGCTGCCATTCAGTTCATAATGTCTGGATTCCATGAAAGGTGGGAATTTGAGTATCTGAGTGACAAGTAGCTACTCTAGAAGGGCACTGTTCCATGGAGTTAATTATATCTTGCAAAACAGTTTGTCCAAGACATTGTTATGTGGTTATGAGCCTTCTGCTGGAAGCCCACTGTTATCACTAGAGTCTTGGTTATCCTAACCAAGACTTCTCATGATTTTCATAAGTTTAAGCAGCTAACAGAAAAGTACAGTGAACATCTCTACTAAATTATTACGTACTCACCATTCATATTTATCTTGACATTTTATTCAGTTGAAGAAATCTCATTACCTAGCATGGAGACTTGGTATCTGATAGACATTTGGGCAGTTATCTTCTTGCCAAGATGAGTGGACTGTCACACAAGGCAACAAATTATGAGCAACAGAACTGTCTATACAAGTATGACACTCCTCACTCAGGGAAGAAGTTAAGGTCATGTGCTTTCAGATCCCTCACACTTAACATGTAGATATTTATTATGTGGTGATTCAGCACCTGTTAGCACTGTATGCTTCACCCTTTACAGTTTCTCATATTCTCATCAAATACCAATTTTACAATGAAAAACGCTACGTGTCATCTCCACGGCAAGTTTATGGTACTCTCGGTGATGATAATCCTAACATGTCTAATCGTTTGGCATTTATGAATGGTATAGGTTTTACCAATTCTAAAGGATTCTGATCATTTTCATTTGTGGATTTAGTACATCTTGCAAATTTTGTTACCACAGTTTTTGCTGTCTTAATTGCAGGCCTGTATATAGCCTGAGATCTTTTTATGAGTCTGAACATACGTTTGAAGTGAAAGTAGCAGGTTTACCCATGAATTTGCTGTCATGCAAGTTTACATTCTTGCTATTATGTATTAATTTTAGTATGTTGAATTATGTAATTATGTATGAATCTTAGATAGGCGAAAAAAGCCTCCAAAATCTGCATACACGCTTGTTATGTAACATAAGAACCACTTGGTTTCAATCTAGATTCTAAAGAAAATGCATCATTTATTTGTGCATTATAGGCAATGATAGATGTATGTGCTGAACGTGGCTGGCTTGGAACCACACTACATACACAACAGATTATGCAAATGGTGATCCAGGCTCGCTGGGTTCAAGATTCTCCCCTCCTCACTCTGCCACATTTAGAAGCATGCAACATGTATCTCTTCATGAAACGGAGCAGAAACCTGCAGACTCTGCCTGGCCTAAGATCTTTTTCATGTGAACAGTATTCATCATTGGCCAACATTTTGAGAGCAGAGCTGGATGAAGATGAAATAGAACAGGTTTGTCGCAACTGCAGTATAGGGTGAATTCCGCATTTTGGATTTCTTTAGGGACCAATGAATCTAAACTCCAAATAGAGGAGAATCTGAAATAGCGGATGTTCAAAGTGACATGTTGACTTGGATCACTAAAGTTGAACATTAAAACAGGAAAAGCCTTAAATTGAAGAACATTAAATGGAGGTACCACTGTAAATTGGCTTATTGAATTTCAGTTATTTGATAAAAAGGCAGGTCATCCATTGGGATATGTATGGGGGTATTACAATTTAACAGCTGCTCCCTTTTCTCTACATTTTTCTGTGCCACAAGCAGGACATATGTTGTATAATATAAAGTTTTAAATATTCTAATTCAAATGCAGGTTAACTTTTATCACTCCAGTGTCATTAGAGCCCCAGCACTATGATTATGTTGCCTGGATTGTTTGTCAGGGCTGTTTAGAGTGATTACTCTTGTATATAATCAGTTGTTGTAGCCCTTGACACTGTTTGAACTGAAGAAGTTCGTCTGTGCAATGAAGATTGTTTTCTTTAGGAATGTGATGCACCATAGTCTGGTAGGTAGATACCAGTGTTTGCTGAAACCTTTTTCCTGTACCTTCACTAACAGTCACCATGCAGTTGTTGACAGATCTGTGTCATCCAGTGAATTCCTGCTGGTAGACACCTAATTACTGAGGAATGTATGCAGACTCGTGACAAATCTACAGTAAAATTCACAGAAGTATTACAGGGAATGCCTGGTTAACACCACTTTGCAGAAGGCTTGAATGATATGCCAACACTGTTTGGTGGACTCAGTATGACACAGGACTGGAACTCAGAATTTTCAGTGGTAGGCTCAGCCCAATATAGGAATACAAGGGGTTAATCATGGTAGTGTGTGGATGCAAAGGCAACTTATGATTTTATTGTGTTAACTTATTGTGATGTTAAATCTGCCTTCTGTCCTCTAGGTGCATAGGGTTCTCTGTGATATGCCTGTCCTTAATGTGGACATTAGTGTTTGTGGATGGTGGGAAAATGAAAGCACCAAAAAAGAAAGACATTTTAAGCAGCCTCCAACAAAAAGCGACTGGATTCAAGTTCATGCTGATCAGGAATACACACTTATGGTACACCTGGAACGTGTCAACCGGGTAAGAGATCTGAAAGTGCACAGTCCTCGATTCCCACGCGGAAAAGACGAAGGCTGGTTCCTAACTTTGGGCAGTATAGAGAGTGGAGAACTTATGGCACTCAAACGAGTCTCTGCCGTGAGGGGTAGTGCGAAGTGCCAGCAGCTTACTTTCTTTACTCCAAAAACAACAGGTAAGAACCTTGTTGAGAACAGGTGTTGTATTCATCGCCCATTCATTTTTCTTTTTAAAAGCAAGACAAAATAAATTGCTGTACACATTGCACTTTCCATTGTTACACATGAANTTACCAGTTAACCCCCAAAATAAAATGTTTCTACATTTACAGATTAATCAAACAGATGGTGATGTTTTCTGTGATGAAAATTTTTCCTAAATCCTCACTTAAGTCATGGATCTCAGATTTTGATTACAAGATAGTGGGGGGGGAAAATAGTTAATTATGGAATGAAACATAGTACTTGTAACCTCAACAACTTTCATTAGAGACAGCTATACATGGTCTGACAATAAAGTTCATGAACTCATCGTGGTAAAAGTGCTATGTACCTCATTGTTGAATATTACTGTGGCTGCCTTCAAAGTACTCCCCTTGGGAAGCTATACACCAATGCCAGCTCTTAGTCCACCCTTCAAAACAATTTTTGAACTGGTTTTTTTGGAGTGGCCTTCAGAGCTGCTGTCGTATTACTCCTGATATCATCAATGTCATCAAAATGCCTTCCTTTCAATATTTCCTTTATCTTGGGGAACAGAAAATAGAGAGGTGAATAGAGAGGATATTCCAGTACAGTTATTTGTTTACTAGCTAAAAGCTCCCTCACAGACAGTGCCGTGTGAGTTTTGCACACACCTTCCTCATGTCAAGATCTTCAATTAAGATTTTGCTGACTGGTTCTCTGTCAATGTTTGCTTGCTCTGCTATGCTTCTGACAGTCAGCTGACGATTTTCACACACAATTTGATAATCTTTTGCAATGTTTTCTTCAGTTCTGCTCATTGCTGTTTGTCATGATCTCTCTTCAACAGTGACACTTTCTCCTCCAAAAAAAAACATGTCACCCGCTTGTAAACTGCTGTTTTCTTCATAGCATTATCGCCATAAACTTGTACTAACATCTCTTTAATTTCACTTCCACTCTTGCCAAGTTTAAAGAAATTTTAATGTTCATTCTGACATTCTTGTGACAGCACACCAAAACACACTCAGACAATAATAGAAGCCACTCAGAAAGAGACTGCCATAGATCAACAACGCAGCTGTGAAATGCTGATATGCCAATGTCGTTAACCCTTCCGCACCGACATCCGTGTGCTTCACCGACCCTTTAAATAATCGTATGCCACCGACATCTGTGCAGTTCACCGACCTGCGCAGTGTTAGCTTTGAAGGACGTTGCTGACAAAACGAGGAAAGATATTCCAATTTTCTTTTCAGGAGTACATAGATTAGGGTTTCATCTTTCTATTGGTATATGAGTTATTTATTTTGGACGAATTTTTAGCACGGTATTTTTATTTTGTATCGTTAGTGTAATAGTTCGTACTTTTGTCTCACTGCGCCTAGATTTCATTGAAATTTTTCAAATTCTAAGTAAGGAAAATGTATAAAACTATATATCTTTCGACTCTATGGTCTTTGCTTGTCTATATGAGTCACTCACTGAAACCCCAGACGAAGGTTTTCCTTGAATGGGTTGCTGTACAGTCTGCTGACACAATGAAGTAGTCAAACAAGAGGGTCCTTTTTTCTTGGAACCAAATGCAACCTAAGAAAATAAACTTACGAATGATACAGAAATCTATGATGTCATAACACTTTCTTCTCTCAGTCGCGCCATAACCATGGCCTCTACAAGTAGGAAAGTTTTACAGGGCGATGAACTAGAAGAGTTCCTTGCTCACGACTCGGAAGTTAGTGAGTTCGAATATTCGGATAGTAGTGAAAACAGTGATAATGAAATTGAAGATCAGGCTGTAGTTGATGCTATCCAAGATCTTAGTATTGAAGATGACGA